GAGAGATAGATTCAAGCTCCTCACCTTTTCATCGTAATCTGTCCATTCCTCTTCGCCTATATCTACCTCGAACTCCGTCCCGGAATCAATTCCATTGCATCTCCACGTCCCCTGAGAGGAATGAGCATCTATAAAGAATATTGGAAAGGATGAACGAACCGTTGGATCGAAATCTATAAACTCTAGACCCCTACAATCGAGAATCAATAAGGGTTCCCACCCTCACCCCCATCCTCGAGGCTGCATATGGCTTGACGCCGAATGCGGTATCGAATGTCGCGGAGGATTGGCGTTACAAAAATCACAGCGCCATAAAAATTAGTCTTGGTTGACTTGGTCGTGGGCATATCGAGAATTGTCTAGAGCCGATATACGAATTGCTTAGAAAACAAAAGAAGAAAAAGAACTATGGCTTACTTTTCGATTTAGACTGACGAGTTTTGAATGTACCTCGTGGCAGCTACTGCACTGAATCTAATCACACCGGGGTGTTTAAGATAACGGCCACCCGTTATCGCATTTGCATCGTTGATCGTTGGACAAAACAGGTGTATAGAAGAATATTGACCTTGAAGAAGTACTCGAAGCTGTCAGAGCCAGGTTGGAGATCGGTGACGTTCTCTAGTTCGCCTTGATGGACAATAGCAATCGGACCATTTTTCTCGAGTTATGATAAGCGATTTATCGATCGCGGGCAGGCAAGCTCAGAATAGGCTGGCGAAACGGATGGCTGTGCGAGTCTATGTAATAGTCTAGTTGAAATTTTCAGAAAAATTCGTATTTACATTTACATTTACATTTGACAGCAACAGTAACGACTTGTGAACAGACTTCATTAGTAAAGCCCTAATACACACGAACTCGTTACCAAGCGATGTCGGTGTGCTTGTGCGAAAGGAACTTGGCGTGATCCTCCTTTGTAGACTCCTTGATGACTTTGAGGGTACCCAAAACTCCTTCGTCGATGGGCGTCCTGGGGTAAGAAGGAGCGTACTTGTCGAAGTAAGGAACGAGACGATTGGCGAGCTCCGTCCCGGGGATGTAGCCTGTTACTGGTGTTAGAACGGGGTAACTCAAAAAAAGTGTTGAAACACATACCGGGGTAGATAGAAAGTAATATAATATCGCTTCCCACGGTTTTCAATGCAGCGCCGTACTTCCTGACAGCCATGTTGAGCGCGGCTTTGGTAGTACTATAGGTATCGCCCAAGAAAGGAATGCCGATGGCGGCGGTGATAGAACCCATTTCGGAAGTGAGGAAAGCTACGCGTTTAGCAGTGCCTTTGTTGATGAGAGGGGTGAGAACTCGGGTGAGGCGTAAGGGTGCGATGACATTGATTTCGAATTCCTCGTGGAACGCTTTGAAATCGCTGGTGTGTGGGTGAATTGCGAGGGTGATCGAATGATCGAATGACCGAATGGAGGGCGTGTGGGAAGGAGTAGGGATAGTTAGTCACATGAAATCTCAGTTAGACTTGGGGGAGATGAGTAGCCAACTTACACGTCGTTTCCGAATGTCTGGTTGGTCTGGTAGTCAACACCAGCGTTGTTGATAAGATAATCGAGACCGTTGGGAAGAAGTTTCTCGGTCTCAGCCACGACACGAACAAAATGCTCCTCTTTGGAAACGTCCAAAGTGAGGAGGTGTAGACGGTCAGACTTGGGGAGAGCCGCGAGACCTGGGGCGCTGATGTCTCGGGCAGTGGCGATAACGACGTTGGAAGGGTCTTTGATCTATTGTTTGTACAGGGGAAGGAAAAGTTTGACATATGGTGCAGATATAATAAGCGGGGTACTTACGAGCTCCTTGACGAACTCCAAGCCTAGGCCGCGAGAGGTACCAGTGATGAACCAAGATGGCATGTTGAGCGAAACTTGAAGCTTTAAGTTGTGTACTAAAAGATATCGAATGTGTGACTGAGGGGATGGGTCAACTTGAACGATTTTGGGAGCCTTTTTATCTTGCTCAACTTTGCGCCAAAATCACACCCCAGTTCCCGTGGAGGCGTCAACGGCATCACCCCCCACATAGATTAGAATGTATATCCAAACCTGGGATCCATTTGGGAATTGGATTGAACCATTGTGAGAAAGCGAGACAGCATTTGTCAGAAAGAGGCTGTGCTCTACTATGCGCTGACTTTGCGATGACAAAGCTTCTGAGGGTTGAAGCCCAAACCAATATTCCTTGATGCTCAAGTTCCGATTGCGCGCCACTCGATACGCACCGATTCTTTGTATCTTCCTTGATGGTTGCGGGGGTGGAGGCAAGCTCCGGCCAATTCGCCTTTTTAGGCGATCTCTTCAGTAAATCATGACTCAACCTGACTCCCATCTGATCGCCTTTCCTGCACCCATAACCACAAACTGCAAGAGTATCTCTGCACACATGGACTTCTGTATATGCACACGTGTAGACAATTCCCTTTAGGCAGATCGCTGAGTCAACAAGAGTTGTTCGAGAGATTGAGGCTTGGTCATATTCCGGTGGCTCGGACGCTCGGATCTTGGATGGGCTAAGGGGCGCGCGCGTCCATCACTGTCACCAAGGCACAGACCGTCTCGAAGATTCTTTTTTCCAGCCTGATCCATCGTCACTGCATTTGCAGGGCGGACCCCTGGCCGAGGGCGCGCATCGCATTCATTTGCTCATACATTTTAGTGAGCTAGATCGTCTCTGCAGCCATTTCCCAAGATATACATTTCTTAGATACCGCATCGCTACCCCCGCGTGAACCATCTGTCTTGTCGCTCATTCCCCATTCATATCAAGTGTATACGGAACTCTTTTCTAGATCGGTGGAAGGCAGGAAGCTTCTGTGGTGGTTTTGTTTTTCAGGAGCAATTCATATACAAAGCCCAACAGTCATCAAGTACGGCCTTCTACTGATATAATGCAGAGTTAGTTCTCGTATTGCTTCTACCAAGATACCGTTTGGTTCCCCACCCCTCCTCCATAATAATAATAGTCTCTTTCGAGTTGATATGTCTAAATAGTGCATGAGATCCCTCGCAGACGGACCTGGATATACATACAATTCTAGATTAGTGCTGCCTAGCAAGATTGACAGTTCCACAACGAAATCATATGTTAATTTGTGGCGCTGTGACTTTCGCCTCATCTATGCACGACTTCCGGCATCCATCATGCTTTAAGGCCAGGGGCACATCGGTCAGATCCAGCATTTCCGCAAGGGGAAACACAACACAATCGGTGGTTTAGATGAAACGCCGAGTAAAGGGAGAGGGCGAACACACCACAGAGGGTTCAGAAACCCTTACAGACGGCGGGCAGCACGTCGCATCAATCAGTCTGTGTAAGCTACAACCTGGCGTGCTTTCTAACGCCCCCCACAGCAAGATGCCGATGATAGGATACGTTGAGGGAAACACCGCGGCGACTTCGCCTAGAACCCCTGCGCGTCGTAAAATGGGGTTCAAGAGACACCTAACCAGTAATTCAAATAATGACCCGCAGTTTGTCGTCCCCACACGCCGGCGGTAGAGATTGCTTACCTCCAATTATAGAATAAGGTCTAGCCGTGTATGAAGAGGAGGGGATGAAAGTCAAGGAGAAAATCGAAGGACTCGCCGGTACCATACCGGTGCCATACAATACACCACACTAGCACTAGCACTGCACAGGAAATAGCCATCTGCATTACTATTGGTCTTCCGTTGCCCGCACATCTAGCTCCCGAGACGAAGATATTCATATACAAGTAAGCAACCGGCCCAGCCAGTAAGGCCGCATCAGGGCCAGCCGTCCCGACCCTACTTCCTCCCATGAGATTGTATAACTGCATTCGGTCAACAGAACACAGAATCTTGTATCCAGTATTCATCGCTTTGCTGATCGGAATAAATAACCCCTCAAGTGCCCGGCCACAAACATACACACAATGCAAATGCGATGTCAATCCGCACAACCATCTCCCTGCCACTAGGCTTAGGAGGTATGATGGGGTGTGTGCATAGGTATGAACGTGGACAACGAATCGCGGACCCCTTCGCCGAGACTTGTTTCACCTGCTTATGACTTCAGACTGACATGAGAGGGCGGAGTATTGCGCTGCTATATAGCATTATGGTGCAAGGCCGTGGGGCCATTAATTCATGAATGGTCAATGGCGTGCGTATTTCGAGCTTGCTGCCTCAGCCAGAAGTATTACCCGCTGAATCGGCGAGAACAGATCTACACCCGAGAAATGCCTATTGCCCGGTCGGCGGCACTCGTATTTTCGAAGATAGAGGCGCATGTACACATAACAAGTGACGTCGATCCGAAGAGGCTAATTTCCCAGCGCTTTGTATAGGATTATGAGAGGAGTAGGCCGGTCGAGGCGGACCACTTCGCCGAAAGGTTCACCATTTGTTGACGCTATGATGGATGTGGGGCACAGTGCCCGCTAATGCTACGCTGTATGTACCGCGCGTTCGTTAACCTCAACAGGAAGTAGTAACTAGCTGTACTACCCGCCAAATTTGGCCAGGAAAAAAAGCCAGAGCCGAGAAATACATCAGCACTTTGCACGGGATAATAAGCTTGAGGTTATGAGAGTGGGGCTGACAATCGCGGAGCTCTTCGCCGAAAAGTTCACCGCTGATTTGTGCGGCGGATGCGAGGCTCGATCGTTGCCAGTACATGTTATATGCTATCACGCGCGTTCAACTTCAATTGAGGTCACTTCGGCTGGTAAGAGCCAAGAGCTGAGAAGTGCCCAATTTTCTAGCGGGATATTTCTGTAAAGAGCGTGACTGGTAAGGTGTTTCATGGACCTCTTCGCCGAAAGGTTCGCCGTTCATTGAGGTAGCAGAGCAAAGGACGCGAGGCCGGCTGTTCGACTGCTCGTACCGCATTGATGCGCTTGAGCAGATTAAATGTATTTCAACCCAAAGTGGTGCTCGCCAAATTGGCCAGCTGGCAGACAGAAGAAAAGAAGAGAATCCAAAGGCCTACGCAACCCAAGAGTCAACAGATTTCAGGGAAGAAGTAGTTCCTAGAGGAGAAACCCCCGGTATGCGGAATCCACCTCGGCAGAACGGTATGTAGGCCCTAGAGACAGCCCCTGTGCATAATTCCAATTAAACTCAAAACAGTATGCATATCCCTAATCATTCGAGCGGTGGCGCAATGGTCTATCTATAGAGGCAGTGCTTCAACATCACCGCCAAGCCTAAGAAGCTCCATGGGACATAGAGTTACCGCGTTTTCATAGTAGCTACTTACCTACCGAACAAAGAAAAGCAGGCGCAAAACACGCACACAACCACACTACTTATACGAAACAACAATTGGCAAACGGTCACGGCAGGAGTTGCATTCAGCACTACCATTCATCGGATCGGCCTTTCTTCAGCCAACACAAATTGGTCTTGTACCTTATAAAAATCGAACAAAGGCGGCTTATGTGTGTAACGGTATTTGCCGTGCTGGCGTTACGCCCACGGCCCCTGTCGCAAGGCCAACCAGGATATCCAGCACTTCAAGTCTCGCGTCGGTCCACCTCATGTATACCATTATGGACCTGAAACGCGAGGCGCGAGGCGTTGTCATGCTAAGAGCTGGAGTTATGAGTAGTCGGCTAATTAGAGTGGGAGTCAAGCAAGCCAGGCACGTCATGATTCGACCAATTTCCATCTGCTCCAAGTTGTTTCACGCACTATTGATCCCGCGCAACGTGTAAAAAACGAGGCCTGCACATGCATGGCAAATCAGGAGCTCCCATACAATTTACCAGTCGAAATTTCGAATGGAGCCTGAAGCGCGCATCGAGTTCTCGGGGTTGTCCACCAATGCGAACCGCGTGGACTTGATTGGGCACGCCAGATGACAAAGACACTCGAAACTCAACACTGGATAGACCTAGCAGATGGGTGAATGCGAAGTGGCATTGTATCTGACAATCTACCTCATAGCAAAGACAGATGTGCAGCGACCCAACAGTGTCGAACCCAAGTGCTTGATCAGTTTTATTTCAAAAAGTGGCCTGAATCCGATACCCCAGAGGACTCTTTCCGCTAGTAGACGTACGTTTATATCGAAGTGCAGCTGCGAATCACAGTTTTATTTTCCCCAAGGCTCAATCATGAAGGTGGTAAAGATTGGGACTTTGGGGCAGGCTCGGAAAGCAATTGAATAGTGAACCAATCTTGTAAGCCGACTAATCCTTGATACTCAGGTTGCTTCTGGGTATCTTTCCATTGAGCAAAGGAAGAACATAAAGTTGATGGTGAGGGGCGTTTGTGGCAAATGACCAGCTTGTTGAGGCGGTTCCCAGCAATTGGAACGATTAAGAATGTCTTATTGATGTCGTCCCAATGATGGGACGGAAGATAGAGATGTCCCTTCACTGTGAAGGAGCTGAAGAAGGGCTAGTTCGCCCTCTCATCGAAGTGGTCACCGCATAATCCTTCGCCTCAACGTCGACAGAGACAAGTTCAATCGCGACACCGCCACTCAGGGTGCTTGCTTTTCGCTCAGGCCTCTCTTGTAATGTATGAGCGATTACCCAGGAGAACCGTCAAGAGAAATACGTCACTGTTCTAGTGCCAACCAAGAAAACCCCTCATTCCACTCGGAGGATAAGAAATGTGAGCCTACCTGCCTAGAGGACAGGGATCGCATTAGAGCGTTTGAATACCTGCCAGTGGGTGGATTCAGACTTACAGCTATGCTTTGATGACGAAACTGATACCAATCAATTTTTTTGATGAGCTTAATCAAGGTGAAAAACGAGCAAATTCGCACGATTCCATCTCGCAGCGGTCATCCAGCAACGCGAGTCTTTAAAACTGTCGGGACGAGATTTGATGCACCTTCTTCCCTAGGACTTCAAGAAGGTCTTGAGAAACTAGAGGCTGACTTGTCGAGGATACACAAGAGTGCTGAAGTCGCGCTGTTGGAGGCTTCTGAGGTGTTGTGTTGAGTCTATATTAAAGCCGTCCTTCACAGGATAGAGAAACTTTCGAGATGGAAGAGAGGTGTTTTCTTGAAAAAGGGACGAGGCCAATGGTAAATAGGCCAAGCTTGGGTTTTATATGGAAACGTCAAATTATTTCCCCTGTCCAAAGACAACACGATCGGGGAGCCACTGCACGGAACGGGTGGAAAGGATAGAAGTATTGCTAGGAAGGAAGAGGCTGCGGCCCTCCGGATATCGGGGAAAATTTCGACCATGGAAAGGAACGAGGCGTAGAACTTCAAGAAGCGGTGGCCGATGAAACGTTTCGTGTGGAACAATGCAGTAACGCTGTTAATTGTGAGTGGTACGATTATTATTATTTGACTGATGAACGTTTGCTACCGGCTTGTGCTTGCGCTAGATAAAAACTTGCCTTTCGCTCCCCCAGCGTGAGTTTGAGGTGATATCCTGTTTTTATCAAGATTGTGAACGCTAGGAAAACTGGTTCGGCTAGCTCTGAAGGAGCACCCTGGAGATTTCCCCCAAGCAAGAATTTTCACTATGTTGGACATCGCCAAATGTGCCTCGTACCACCAGCCTCTATCGGAATAGAGGTTCAAGTTGGGATCCGACTCGGATGACTGTTGGCCTCAAATTTATAAAGGTACCATTATCAATACAGTTGCGCATTTACGCTCATTGCCGACTTGTTTATTTACTCTTGAGTCTGAACTCAGGATCCTTCGAAAGCGACGATTGTCGAAGCCTATCGCGCGGGGAGAACAACCGTTATTGCCGCGGCCCGCCTCAATCTCGGCTTGGACCCAACCCCAGCATACCCCTCGGGCGTCCCAAAAGGAATTAGGAGGAAACTCACGCGAAGTTTATGTCGCCACTCAGTGACAGCAGCAACCCCCGTGAGGGTAATCCCTCCTTCTCCCTACTTCCCAACTACTCTGCCTCCGATCCCACATCCCTTGAAGGCTGATCACCGGACTTCCTGCCACCGATTAGCTGGGAAGACAGTGGTGGTCCCCGACTACCAAGGGAGGTTCAGCAAGCCGAAGCCATTCTTGCTGCACTTCATCAACAATTTGGCAATTATTTTACACCCAAAGAAACAAGATTCACAATCCGCGCACTTGCCGCTTTTCTCCAAGCTCAGGGATCCAGCTTCTCGGATTAGCGCTCGCCTTTCTAGTCAATCACTCCAGTGAACCTGACTCACAGCCGATGGTCCATTTCTGCTTTGGTTCCCTGACCCTGCGACCACGAGTGCGACTTTCAAGAGCTTCTTCTGTACATGCACGCGTGTAAATTGTGATATTAGGCAGATCGCTGAGTCAACGGTGACCGAGGGGTTGTTTGAAAGAAGTCATGTTCCGGTGGGTTGGATATTGGACGTTGGATGGGCTTAGGGACGCGCCCATCACTATCGCCAAGGCACAAATTGGCTCGAGAATGCTTTCCGAGTTGATGCAGTATCGTCACTGCATTCGAATCTCTTGCACGATGGAGAGCGCATCGCATTCTTGATCATTAACTGTTCATACATCTTGGTCAGTTCGATCGCCTCTAACCATTTCTGAATATGCAGTTCTAGACATCACGTCACTACTTCGCGTGCCGCACCCCTGTGTCCTTTTGCTCTTGCCCACCGTGACCAACACGGAGAACGGCCCTGCCCACCAAGGTTGAGCTGGGGGTCACTGACTTTCCCTTACAATTCGAACTGAGTACTCGATTCATCTGCCGCCTGTTGCACATAGGCGGACTTGGGTGTGTAGTGCAGCAGAGTGGCCGGCACTATGTGCATCCGGAGCTCGTTAGTGCGGATCTGCGAGGCGTGGGCGGCTTTAGCGGTAGCTTTTCATTCCATGAGTGACTCATGCATAAGCCCACCTTCACAAATCACGGCCCTGCTAATCCACCGGCGAGAAAATCCTTGGTACCACTAGACGCGTTTTAGCTCAGAAAGAAGCTCTTCCCAAGTTGATGTATATGTCGTCTCTGCATCCGCCCGATCCTTGGCAGACGGGCCTGTTCACTTATTGATCAAGAGTTTGACTGTATCTTGTCGTGCTCTTGATCAATAATTGTTTGTGCATCTTGGTGAGCTCGCATGTTCCACCCGATTCTTTAGATAAACAACCATCCGGTGAATGCGTATCTTCTGCTACTTATGTTCGATACGCTCAGCTTGCATCAAAGCTCGCGTTGCTTTGAGGCTGGGGATGAAGAATAGAAACTCCTATCGTTCCTCCGTTATCGGAGGTTTTACTGATCCATCGGGCATATCCAGCATTCCGCATGGAGCAACACGAGACGATCGGTGGTTAACATGAAACGCCGAGTGAAGGTAGGGCGAACAAACTACGTTCCACGGTCACAACGATGATCCGACACGCCATGACAATGGGTCCAGTATAGTACCGCTAGCGCGAGGATGCAGGTAGGGGGGTCCAGAAACCCTTCGCAGCGTGTCACATCAATCAACCCGACCACCCCTGCCATAGGCTAAGAACCAGTGTACTTTCTGGCGTTCATCGACAAAAGCCGATCATAGGGTATACAAGGGACACACCGCGGCTGGCCTAGAACCTTGCGGGTAGTAAATAGAGTCCAAGGGTCATCCCATCAGTAATTCAAATAATCAAGCGCTAAGCTAGGATGTTTGTCCTCCCCATCAAATCGCCCAAGCTGGTGGTAAAGATGTGAGGATGACATACCAACCACAGAACACGCCCGCGCATGAAGAGGAGACTAGTACTACGCAGGAAATAGGCATCTGCTTCGGTCAAGCGTAGTCATCCGTTGCCCGCACGTCTAGCTTCCGAGACGGGAATATTCATATTACAAGTGACCAACTAAGCTGGCTGAGCGTCCTAAAACCGCAATATTATGAACCTAGACAGGTTACCAGCGTCTATTGGGATAGGCTGGACCACCAGTCCCGACCCTGCTTCCTCCCATGAAATTGTATACTTCTTACCCACTCGAGGTTTATACATCATTAATTTGCTGATCGGAGAAAAAATTAATGACCCTCAAGTGCCAGGCCACAAACAAACACAATGCAAATGCGATGTCAATTCATAGAACCATTTTCCTTTCACAATGAACAATGAACGCAGACAAGGTACCCTTTCGCCGAAAATTGTTTCATCGTTTATCGAGGGTGCGACATTAGACCGGCAGGGCCGGATCCGAGCGCGCTGTTAGCATTGTTGACGCTTATGGTGTGGAGGCCAGGGGTGCATTCAGGTGATTAATTGCGTGCCACGCGCTTACCTCGCTAAATTAGCAAGCTACAACAGATCCACACACCCAATACGCGGCCGGGCTCTCGCTTAACTCAAAGATGGAGACGCACGTACACATAATACATGGTGATGATCCACAGAAGCTAATTTACAATGCTCCGTATCGCTTGGGTGTAAGAGTAAGCCAATCGCGGACCCCTTCGCCGAATGGTTCACCGTCCATTGACGGCATGATGGGCCTGGGGGATGGCCCGCTGCCCTGCGTGCTGTAAGGCGCACCCGCGAATCCGAATTGTCCCCGCCGGGAGTATTGCCAGCAATATTGCCCGCCAGGAGCTAGAGTCGAAAGAATAGCCCCATGTCCGTTCCGCACTCATTCAAATCAAACGGGCTGTCCTACGCACGCGCACCATACACAATACAATTCACAGAGATTATTTTCCAGCACTGCTTTGCATGGTATGAGGAGAGTGGAGCTGCCAATCGAGGACCCCTTCACCGTTGATTGACGCGATAGTGCCGCCCAATGAACGCGAGGCTCGATCGCTACCGGTTCTTATTAGATGCTATCACGCCGCTTTGATTGCGGCCTTCGGCTAGACCAAAGTAGTACCATGAGACGTAGAAATTGGCTGGAAAAGAGCCAAAAAGGCGAAAAGTACGCAATGTCCGACGCCCACGAACACGTCCTGCACCCATACATACGCGATGTCAATTCACGGGAACTATTCTATAGCACTCGCAGAGAGGACAGTTGTGCGCCGCGCGCAATGAGCTTGGTCGGTGGGAAATATTGCTCGCGAACCTCCTCACTCAGAGGTTTTCTGTTTATTGCCACAGCGGGACCGAGGGGAGTGGTGCTGTATTTGTCCGCAATGCACCTGCGTGTGGTACGTGCGTCTCAACCCCGAATGGCACCCGCCAATTGGCCAGCTGATAGCCAGAGGGAAAGGAAGAGAATCCAACGGCCTATACAGTCGACTCCAAGAGTCAACAGAACGTCCGAAAGAAGTGGCTCATAGAGGAAAAACACTGGAGACAGTGCGTATTGCAGGCGTGATGCCAGCGCACAAGGTGTGTAATGCAAAATCGAGCCCGATCCGGGTCCATCAACGGTATTACCTCCCGGCAGACCGTACAAACATGGTATGCGGGCCCTAGAGACAGCCCTTGCATATAATTCAAATTCAAACTCAAAGGGGTATCATCATGCATGCCAGTATGTATATCTGAACATTCCCTGGGGTTCGAGCGGCGGCGCAACGGTGCAGAGCGCTGCTTCTTAGCCGGCGAAGTAACGCAGTATTGTAACGTCGCCGCCAGGCTTAAGAAGTTCCATAGGTCATAGTTACCGCGTCTTCACAGCAGCTACTTACCTGCCTAACAAAGAAAAAGTGCTTGAGCAGGCGCAAAACACGCCACACTAAAACAACAATCAGATCGGAAAACAGCCTGGCTACAGTAGAAGTTAATTGCACGTACTGGTAGCACAACCATTCATCGGGTGAGCGTTCTTCAACCAACACAAATTGGTCTTGTGCCTCCCCCCCCCCAAAAAAAAAAGGTCAATAAGAAAAAATCGAACAAAGGCGGCTTGAAGTGGGGAACGGGTTACTTGCCATACTAGTGTTATGTACACCCCCTGACTCTAACTTGTGACCGTGGGGAGCCTGTCGCAAGGCCGAACCGGATTTAGGAGAATCACTCATCATTCCCGATCTCTGCATCAAATTCCGCTGGTCCATGTCCTGGATATCAATATCGACCCGAAACGACGCATTGTGCTATAGAACTGGAGCCAGAAGCAGCCGGCTACCTACTAGTACTTTATAGGTGAGGCACGCGACTGGGCATGTGCATGTGGCCACGGTCGATTTGCTTTTACTCCAAGTCGTTCACGCGCCAGTAATCCTGCGCAATGCTTTACCAAGTAAGGCCTACATATTCATGGTAAATCAGGAGCTTATGGCGCGCGTCGCGTCGAGTTCTCAGGAGGTGTCCGTTTTCAGTCGTCGCGTCCTCCCTGCCGATGACCTGGGAGTACTACTTAAATTCTTTTCACATTGTATGGTAAGTGTACTACCGAGATTCATACAGTCACAACCAAAAGAAATGACCAACGGGAAAAAATTAAAGCAAAGAACGAAGGAAGTCAAGAGAAAAGAAGAAAAAAACCAAATCCGGAGCCGGCAAGTGTTGACTAGTTAGTATGACAGATAGATGGGTAGTTGAATTGATTAAAAGGGGGTGGAACGAATGGCGTTGCATGAGTAGTTTATCGCGCCAAGACACAAAGTTGAGCTGAGGAAAAGAAATATGTGAAGAACAAGAGAGAGTGTGATGGTGAACAAGGCAAGAAAATCACGGACGAAAGCAAGCAAGTGACAACGAGAGCATTTTGAATTCCGCAGCACAACACCTCCTCTACCACTCATATCCCTTCTCGAGCCTAACCAAGTGCAACCATAACGTGATCATACAATCGTGTGTCGACAATCCCATATACTTTGGTGAGAACGAAAGCACCTGAGTCAGGGGTGAGTAACGACACATTTCAGCTGTTGACGCCAGCATTTCAAAGGGTTTGATTGCCTGATATTGAAAGCGGATGACGTGAGTTGTGTGAGCTGGGCGTGCATGAGGGAATTAAAAAAGAGGAGATACGTACGACAAGGTCTCCTGTTGACTTGGAAAATTTCCATTTACATTCTCTCCAACCGTCCACCAAGAATCGCAAGCATTTACTACGGGTTGAAAAAAAGCCTGTTAGCACACTCATTCCCAGACAATACTCCAATGGAGAAATAAGTTGCAACCCACTCTGCACTGGCGGCCTTCACAAGCGCACTCTCCTCCTTCATAACAGCATGCCTCAATAAGAAAGTCTTCTGAATCCTCTTAACCTCCTTCCCATCCTCCTCCTCATCATCATCATCATGCCTCGCACCCCCCTTCTTTGCACTTCCATTAACCAGAAACGTACCATTCGCACCAGCGACACCATTAGCATCTTGCTGAACGTACGCAACGATATCCTCCCCGGGCCAATGATTAAACTTAACGAAGGTAGCATAAAAATCCTTCTCCCATTTCACTGTTGCGATTTCTTTCTTAGATTGAGTGAACGTCAATTTAGAGGGTTTCTGCGTTGGTGATGAATCAGAGGAGAGATAATCGTTTGGGGGAGGGACGAGGGTGCTGTGGGAGTTGGTTGGGCTGTAGGATGCTCGTGGGGGTGACAGGGCGTAGATATGCGTCCGCGGCGTTTGAGCCTCGATGGGGACATTAGGATCGAATTTTGTTTCAAACTGTTTTGAAGGAGGAGGCGAAGCGCGCCATGGCATGCCAGTCAGTATCTGTGTGTATTGTGCATGTGAGTTGAAAAGGCCACCTTGTATGCGGTGTAAGGTTCGCCTTCTGCGTTCATGAGGATGACTTGAGCATTTCGCCTATCGCCACCATTAGGGAAAAACCATCGGAATAAAAACGGGGTGTCTTCTTTGGCCATTTGGTTGTCGTTAAGCTTTTGCCACCGAGTTCGGAGGCACTGGAAGCGAGTCAGAATGGGTAGTGGGGACACGTTGAGGTAAGTTGGTGATATACAGGCGGAGGAAGGCTGGTTGTGTGTGTAAGCAGGCCGTGCGCGAGTTGACGGGACAAGGGGAAGCGAAGAAGTCCAAGAGGGTGCCCGAGAGCTCAGTGGAGTGCGAGTAAAAAAGTACGAGGCGGTGAAAGGCTAACGGGTGAGGGCTAGGAGGAAGAAGCAGAGGGGACCGGTATATAAGTACGACAGATATCCTGGATCCTGATTGAGTTGCACTTCTTTTTTTTCCTCCTTTGCTGTGCAAACAATTTGCCAACAATTCAAGATTAGAAGTAAATCAATTATTTCAAGGACAAACTGCAATATATGGATTCCGAGTTCAGGGTTCACTAGTGATTTACTGGAGAAAAGCGGAGACCGATTAGAATCATAGTTTGCCAGTGTTGCGGCGGTGAGGCCGCTGCTCAATCAGCATTAGAACAGGAGTTTTATTGTGGCCAGGCAAAGCAGGAGCAGGGGCCGAAGGGGAGAAGGACACGCAAGAGGCAAGTGGTATTAGTCACCGGTGGCGAAGAGGGGGATGAGAGGAATACTGGTTTGAGGAAGAAGAGTCTGAGAGGAGGATTTCGCCCAGAGGGGTTAAGCGCACTCAATTACGTAATAAATCCAATCGTTTTTCGACTTCGGCAATGTCCTACAGTAACGGACAAAGGAAAAATGAGAAAGGGAATGACTTTAATATAATGAAACCATCTCGTTGCTAATCTGGAGAAGAAATGAGATCCAGATAGTTGCGTGATTGAGTTTGATCGCTTTGGAGGAAGTGAAAGGGCCGGTAGTGATTACTTTGATGGGTAACGGGAAAGAAAAAAGACGCTGAGGAGGAACGACCCTTGGTTGCAATGCGAGTTCTCAAACAAGGTACTGTTTGGCTTCACACGGGTTCGCCAATATCCAGGGACTGTCATCAGGTTCGAGCGCCCCCCCTTCAGCAGCGAAAAGGCGCCAAGTGTAAGGGAGAAAGATGCAAGAACCACCCGCCAATTCCGCTCATAACCGCCCGCACACGCTGCCACGCAACTCACAACGAAAACAAGGACGACTCGTCAACGCGATGCCGAGAGCGCAAATTGCGGCCCAAAGGCTCAAACAAATAGGTTCGATCTCAATGCGCCTTTATTCTCGATTAGGTAACGACATGAATTTTTCCTGTTTCAGGTTGATCCTAGACGCAGCCCCCAGAAAAGCTACTCTCGTCGTCGAGCGCTTAGTCGATATTGGACAAACAGTAACAAAGGGTCTTCTATATATGCCACGCATCAAAAAGTGCCACACTTAACAGCTTTAAACCTCTGGATTTGAGGTGCCGACTTCGTGGTTACTCCTCAATGCTCATCAGTGATTAGATGCTTTGGAGTTTCAAATAGAAATGACCTTCTTCTAACCTTAATTCTATGAACTATACTAGTCCATATACGCTGACCATTGATGTTCATTGCCTTTGGATTCCGCCGACGACAAACGTACTACATATGTTTAGTTTTCCCTTTCTCCATCTGAAACGCTCTTTGGCATTGCTTTTCACCATCATCATGTATGGCTACCAACTGATCAGGTACGTCGTCTTCAGAACTTCCCCGTCAATGCCTCATGTCGGACACGCAGCGAAACACATACAACTTAAGGTCCGCCTTTCTTCCTATGCTTTCCCCTGTCTCCAGTTTTTCTTTCCCACGCACTTCCAATCTCACGAAGTGGGACTTACAAGTTTTAGTGTGGTCAAGTCGACAGCGCTTGGTGTTCGGTGCTGGGGCCGAGGGCCGACCTACAAATATCCAACCAATTGGCCTATGGCCTTCTGGTACCGCTGCCCGCGATCCAGTGCTTGACCAATTCCCCTCAATCTTGGCTGGTGTTGTACTTCGGTATTCATTCCCAGTACTACAGTTCATTACACTCCATTTGTCCGTTCAATAAACGAGTAACTCCACACCTTGTAGCTTTTTCCCTTTTGTACCCCACTTCGTCCATTGCAATCTACCTCAAGATCCTCACCCATCCCCGATCTCCGCTGTGAGCACTTACTGCCGTGCAATCAATTCTGCATGGCAAGTGTCATCTCCCTCATCTTACTGATCATTATACTACCTTGATAATACAACTAGGTCTAATTCGGCTTTAAGTCGGGCTCTTCCCCTTCCGCTTTTATTGCTCCATCTGCGTTGATGGGGATAATCACGGCGCGACGTTTGATCGGGGCGCCGTTTACGCGCGCTTGATATGAGGGCCGGGAGAGCGGCGAATTTGAAACTGGTATCCAAATTCGGTGTCTGTTCTCAGTTCCCACGACGCATGGCCCATTTGAACTTTTTTGATTCTGATCGTTCGAATTCGACTTTCTCCTCGCTTCGCCCAATCGATTCAAGTCTATCTAACGCCACGGGACCCGTCATCAAAAAACAGAAAATCAGAAACTCTGCATGCTCCGAATAGCCTCCGCCCCGCTCATAACACCTCTGCCGAACTCAATCTCTCCATCGGGCACCGCGGCCTCACCAAAGGATTTGGCATTTGAACAGCTGAAGGGTTCTAGAACTCAAAACTGTGAATTGAAGCCCTTATTCCATACGTTGATTGTTGTGGCCCAGCTATTTTATCGCCCGGCTGGGGCGAGCGGCGGTTGTCAATTGGGCGGTAGTTGCCCTGTCCGCTGCAGTTGGCCATACAAAAAAAATCGAGGGTGCGGGAGTTTGCTGTCATGCATGCATGCGTAATTCCCGTAACGTTTTCCCTGTTCTCGTTGCAATCAGCTGAAGAACGTTCGCCTTGCCAGCTGGCTCGGGTCGCCTCTTATTCTGAACGGGCGGGCCAGGAGTGCGTTACTCGAAAAAGAAAGGTCTAGCTAGCCCGGGTCGCTTCTTATTCTGGGGTGTGGAATGGGTAATGTGAATGAAGGCTCGCAACTAAGTTTTGCTGATCAATCAAATAACTATCGCAGTGTAATCTACTCGGGGTTCCGCATGCAACACCCTTCAATGTGCTATTAACGCGCGGGCCTCATGTGTGCATTGCAAAGCATGACAAATTTGAAGTGTCATAGAAAACGAACGCTATGGTTGCCGCCGAACGGTTCATCGTCAATAGGGAACAAAGGTCAGAAAAAGCTCCTAGCTGATACGATTTCTCTTCTCCCTGGACCTTCAGCATATACTTGAGGCGCAGCAATGGCCCATCTCATTTGAATCAGCCACGTTATGGGGATCGATCCGTTTATTTTTCGGGGAAATTACTCCTTTCTTACGGAAATGGAATTGGCAACGATCGTACGTCGTCTTCAACTGAATCAAACGTTTTGCCTGAGACAAACCGAAAACTACTGTAGAGCTCATATGTGTTCGGGTTCTCAGGTTTTGACCTAATTAGGTCATTGCTCTGAAACGTGCAGGTTTTCGAATTTCACATTAGCCAAGCCGCCTCGCAATCGCTCATGGGTAGGATCGTCTGTGTCCCCTCTCCTTTCCCTTCCGTGAGCCATGAATGTTGTGGGGATTATCTTGATTCTGAGACTTAACCTGTGCGCACAGGCTTTCAGGGAGACGGCCATTGTTGAGGGAGGAGTCTAGGTCCTAGTTCCCATGGCTTGTTCTATAGACTAGGCAATGGAATCTGATAGCGCATGACTCCCCAGATTGCCCTTAGGTTGGGTCCGCGAGCACGTACAAGTAAATCCCGCACTCGATTAGGTTCCCTCTCTGATTCTTCACATAGTCACTGACTACCTGGGAACCAGCCATAAGCAATTCCCCGGCTAACTGAACGCCGCCAAAGGAGGAATCGGTAGTGGCAAGGCATTTGAATGGGGTGCAATAACATTGCATTATGCAGTATGTGCGTGTTATGGCGTTCGGCCTTTCCGCCGCCGAGAATATTTCCCATTTGTTACATGAACTACGCCACTGGCGATCCTGTAGGGGGCATCAATGGCCAGCGTTTGGATGGACAATCTTTCCAAGGGGGGGAGGGGATTGTGGCGCGGGCACGGCATACACCACCTGGTCTCATGGAACCCATGTGTTCCCTGGTCTCAAATCCCTATTTCTGATTGTGTTTTTGTTCCCCTGAAGCGTGGACCTTCTGGACTCTTGCTGCAGCCTAGTGTCAATGAGGTAATGACCATATCAGGGTAACATGAATTCATTGAGTATGTCAATCATTCATTTTCAAAGTTAACCTAATCCGTCCCTCAGCATTTTTCACGGGAATTACAGCCGGGACTGGTCAGCAGGACCACGCAGCAACCGCTCTCGAACCCCCCCGTTATTTTTTCGCGAATAAGTCCGTGATTAATGTTCTTGCAGCCCCATACCTCCGACTCAGTGCATCACTGGCGTTTTACAACTGATGTTGTTCGACCTCGCAAGTTTTTTTTCCGTTCAGGCCTCAGCTAATTCCAAAAACACATGATTCTTGCGCCCTCTCCCTCCCTCTCCCCTCCTCCCCACATACTTCCGTAGAGAACAGCCGTCAGGCCAGTTCTTCGGCACGCGAACTGATGGCCTACGCCGCTTTCTACCGGGGAGGAGTCGTTGGGGAAGGATTCCTGATGCGGTGACGCAATACCTCTTCTTTCCACCCCTTTTAATCACGGATGACAGGTCCAAGCATCTCCCATGAGGGATTGGCAGGATTATTTCTAGTGGCCTGGTTTCCGTCTAGCAGTCGTAAATATCCCAAGTTCGCCCCGAAGATTCTCGACGTTTCGTATTTCACGGTGTGGGGGGCTTAAATGCCCCTAGTTGATTTAACAGCTGAACAGCATAATCTTGGATGTGAGACCAGAAAGTTAAAGAGCAGTCCGCCTTTGGAGGTTCCACCGTTGCTAGCTGGTTCTCAATTCCTCGGGACTCCTGTGCTATGATTTGTCGTATCATCTCGTCGAAAGAACGCCGAATTTCAATGGGGGAATAGTGAAGATCTTGCGACGCATTCTGCACAGTTGGCTGCCCCTGCATAGTTGATTGCAGGGTATTGGTCCAGGTGCACACAAAGGAAAATCGTCCAATTAAAAATGTGATAAAACAATAGACAGTTAGGTGTTACGGTCGATACATCGAAAGCAAAGAGGAAGAGAAATTGCACATGATAGCGACAAAAAGTCTTAATGAGCAGGTGAATGGGGGGGGACTAAAGCTACAGATACTGGGCAGAATCGTCGCAGTGCGTGAGGTGACCATGAATCATGAAGTTGCCGGAACCATAAAACATGTCCGTCCGATCAAGGTAACACTGACGAATCCCAGCCTACAGCCGCTTAAGACCTTTCTTTCGCTTCGACACACCACCTGGGCCAGTAACTGATCGCTTCAACGACTTCGTTGGTGCGACGTTCACCGCAGTCGTTGGGGCTGCGCCAGCATTGGCAATGGCGGCGGGCTGTAAAGGCCCGCTGCTCGGGGGTTTATTTCCCGAGGCGCTACTGTTCAGAGAAGCTACACTCGAGCTCGTAACAATAGTAGATGAAGATGAGGTTGTGGAGATTTTCGTGGTGCTGTTGTTGTTCGATGGAGAAAGCTGCAACGGCTCGGCGTGCTCCGGCGGAGCGAGATGCGCAATGAGCGTAGCAGACGTCTTCATTGACTTGACTGGTGTGATGTTGTTCGTCGGAGGGATGATCTCACGAGGAATAGGGGCTGGGATTGAGATCGCTGGTGGTGACCGGCTCGACGAGGCAGGATGTGCCGCTGATGGAAGTGAGTCGTTATGTGACATTGGTGCAGATGAGTTTGACGACGCTGAGGGTATATCAAACTCTGGGGGTCGTAACTTTGGCTTCGCGTGCACCTGAGTGATAAGCTTCGCGTGTTTGAAGTACTCGTCGTAATTTTCGAGGAGCAGCTTCCCTGCAGCCTCATCGAGGGCCGACTCCGCGTTAGGGTAAATAAGTAAACATTTGATCTGTAAATTGAGACACATCTCAACTATGCAACAACAAACGGAGTCAATGGGACTCACCGTAATCAGAATGTGTGCAATCCCATATTCTTTCTTCCAATCCTTCTTCAGAGTATTAACGCAGATTTCCCCCGACTTTGAGACGTTGGGATGGAATATACGGGTTATCATCGTGCCTATCAAACAAAACATTAGGACGCGTAAAAGGGGTTGAGTGCAACGAAAGGGGTGCATGCATTTTGGGGGAGCTGCGGGGAACTCTTCCGTAAATTGAAACCTTATCTTGAAATATCCTCCTTCATACGGTGTCCCCTCTATGAATCCGCCACACCACGCCAGGTAAATTAGCAATGCTTGACCTCCAACGTAAACAAACAAATAAGGCAAAACCACTGTCGTGTGAAGTTGATCGCCTGCGATACTCACCGGGGCCGGCCACGATACCAATGACATCGAGTATATCTTCATCGTTCGTGGCGATCCGTATGCCGTCAGGTGGAGAAGTTCGCAGGGTCGTGATTTCTTTCATAAGCCGGCGCATTGCGCCAGATGTTAAGGACTACATAGGAACACGCCTCAACAACAACCTTATAACAGTGAATATGAAGATTTATGGAACTGACCATACTGGGAGCACTTGTCGAAGCAAAACGAAGGCAAAACGTTACGGAGAAGAGGAGTTGTTGCTCGATGGGGTTGTTCACGGTACTTGCCGGAATGCTTACGTAATGACGCAATTATAACTGAATTGGTCGAGGAGGCAGTCTTCAGTGCTCGATCGAGGATTTGATGCTCATCTAACAAGGTTTAGAGCGCTCGGCGCTAATCCCATTTGTTTTGCAAGCGTCCTCGGGCTCCTCAGGCACAGATAAAAGGGTTGGACAATGAGTCAGACAGGCATGTTCTCTCCACTGAACGGAGTTGGATCGCCGCAAGTCAGCAAGGCAATGCACAGGGGATACTGAGTTCCACCCAGCTAGCTGTCAATGGATTGATGTAGAGCTGAACACAGGTCTCAGTTTCTAGCGGACCTGGACACCTCAATGCGAACTTCTGAGGGGAGTAGGAGAGACAAGCCACGATATCAATTGTCAGAAGTCTCACCGTTTCGTTATATGTTACATATTCTATATTGGTTTTTGATGAATCAACTCGTTGTTATTTTGCAATTTGATTATGCCATCCAGGAAGGCAGTCACTTGCTCGAGAGCATCATAACTTTTCCTGAAGTTGAATCCGAGTGCGGTTGGCCTGCGGCTTTCCCTCACCTTGAAGGAGAGTATTATGCTGAGAGACTTGAGGGTGGCATAACAGGGGAAGGGCTCATTGGCGGCGTCAGAACGAATCACCGTGGCAAGGCTATTTCCGAGAGAGATCATTGACTCTATTTCACGAGGTCGATACAATCTCCGAATGATTACCGGGCTCTTGCCACCAGCGAGTCCGACTTCCACATAATGGTTTTTCCGTTCATGGGGCACAGGCAGCCAATATAGTAGGCAAGCTTGGTGCATCACTCCTAGGTTATCGCGGTCAGTATGGCTACAACACTACAGCCCGAGGTGGCGGAGGTCGATGCAAGTAGAGATACAAATGACACAACCGCAGCCGCCTGTTAATCGGCGATGTTTTTAGCTCCACGTCTCCTCAAACCATCTCCCCTCCGATTCCATCTGTGTCATGTATGCTCTACTTTGGGCTTCCGTCCATTCACCTTCCCCTTCCAGTACTTTCCGGATGGCGAGACGTACAGCCGCAGGCATCTTATTCGAAGATCTACGATAGATCGAGTGAATACTGGGACAGTGCGAACAAGGGATACCTACCCGGAGAGATACACGTATGCCCTCCGTAAAATAATCCACTCCCGTATTAGTTCCCTGTCAACTGGGATTATATCCTGGACGTAGATTTTATTCTCCTGGATTGTTACGGTTATCCTAAGCACTCGGTTGAACGGTTGAACGGAGAGATTCTCAATTACCTGATCCCTCGAAAAGGCAAGTCGCAATCGTAAGTGTCCATTCGCAACATATCCCTCTAGCTCCTCTCGATAGAGGTAGTCAGCTGATGCGGACCTGCATCCAAAGTAAAGTAGATTATCTGGATTACTCATCAGTTTGTCGGAACCACCAAACGGGCGTCGGCTGCCCACCATATTGACCCTCATCTATTCTATGCTGAATAATCGCCCTCAGTGGAGCAAGCCCAGTCCCAGGGCCAATGAGTATCACTGGGGACGACTCCTTCCTGTTTGGAAGCACAATGTTTCCTTGTTGGAACGCAAATGACACTTTGTCACCTGTCACACGAGACGTATATCAAAGGAATATTCCTGCTAAACGACATGACGCACCAATTTGCAAACGACTGAGCCAAGTGGAACACAGTCCCCGACGAATTACCTTTAATGAAAGACTCCTGTAACGCACGATTGCTACAGTGAGCTGCACCCTCCCTGGAAACACCTAATGGGAATTAGGCAGGGGAACGGGCGATAGGTTGTTAACATACTTGGGATGAGTTTGATATGGAGAATTTCCTAGGGCGGATGGTAGGGAAAATATCGAGAACGTATTCGATTGGTATCATTGTCGACTTGAAGTCTGCCAAAACTTCAAGGATTGTACGCCGCGGGCGCTGGGCGTATTCAAACAAGTCATCCTTAAAGTATCGCAGTTCAGAAGGGAAGCGCATGATATAGAGAACCGGTCTACTCACCTGACCCTCACTTGACGAGAATTCTTTCAGCCTATCTAGTTCTCTCTCATCGGAGGTGTATTCCCGGCAGGCTTCAAAAAAAGAGCGTCGAGGAACAGATGCGATATCAATGTGCCCAAGGAGCAAGTCTCTCAAGGAGGAACGTTTTGGTAAGGATGTTGGTAGGAAGTCATCTGGAAGCGTCGCCGTGCGTTGACCGGTAAGCAACCCCGCGAGGAGCCGGTGGATTGACATACCCTCATCGTCTTGCACTACCTCAAACATTGCATCTGCGTGATCTTTCCAACGCATCCGGGAGAGGAGGTAATCAACATCAGAGGGTTCGTTCTGTGGCCGCAACGTAATGACATCTCCAGGCTGGAAGCTACGTTAGCGTTAGCAGCCGAATACCATTTCATGCCTTAGATACTGACTTGTTGTGTGCGTTTTGGATCTCCAGTTCAACGTGCCTCACGTCTTGATACCAATCGCTCCGAGTAATACGTTTGTTCTCAATCACACGCGCGCGGACGTCAGCTGGAGCTTCTGAGCACGATCTTGAAATATCCAAAAATTCTTCACCAGATGGACAAGGAAGAAGACGTGCTTTATGAGCCTTGATGTACACCGACGGGGAAGAAGCCTCAGCGGAGTGGTCGTACAATTCGTTTAGTCTCTTGAGCAGGTCATCAAGCCAGGGATCGAGCGTGCCATATATGCTATGGAACCTACATAAGGGCGGAAAGAAGCACATTCGGGAAGCAAACGAACCCCAAATAATGCTGTTCATCTGCATCCGCGCGGGGAAGTATGGCATGAGCTCCGAGGGAAAGTAGACGACGATAAAGCCTCTTTGTCGCCCAGCAAAATCGTTCATAAGATGAATCCCCGAGACCAAAGACAGCTATATCCAGATGCTCAAACATATCAGGCGTGAGATCAACCCTAAGCAGTTGTTTCCAAAAGGATGTCATCTCGTGCGGTTCATCGCCGTTGCCGGTAGTGGAGCAGACGAATATTACAACGTCTTCTTCCAGTAGCCCTGACTGAAACTTCTTAAGGCTCCCGGAAGCCCTCGTATCCGATGACACGCACTGGCGAATATCCATCCAGTGAGGCAATTCTTGCACGAAAACCTGACCTGCGTAGCAATCTTCCTATCCGTTCAGCCACGTCCTGGGATGTACCCGTCTCAGTGGCGAACAGAATGAGGATAGAGGAAGAGTCTAGTCCGTTTTGCGCGGCCATCGCATGGGGATAGACCTAACTTATTCGGGTGACTGGCTTTGAGAGTCAGATGAGGGAACCATCACCGATCGGTCACGTCACGCAACTTCCTAATTCGGCTCATGTCTACAGATCATTTACATGTACAACATATCATAGCTTGGCCCTCACGGGCACAGTCCCAACTCCCTTACACAATGTTTGAGTAGGGACTCTAATGGGGGTTGTTCGTAGCATTCAGTAAGAGTTCGAGGAATAGGTTGATGAACCAACTGACCGTCGCTTCGGCGCGACACCATGCTCTATCGCTTGGATCCACAGTGCCACATATCTTGAGTATATTCTAGATAAGAGGATTCCCTGGAGATGAAAAGGCTCAGTTTCTATCTTGGAATGGTGATAGGATACCTACACCGCCGATGTACCAAAACCTGGTGGGTGAAGAATGAATGCGATTGATGGACCAGTTTGGACAACTTACCCTGGGAAACCAGAATGCGTCCAAACACCATATATGTCACTATCAGGCTTCATTTCCCAAGCTGCAGCTGTCTGGTCAGCTATGTGACTACCAAAGATCTTACGACAAGTCTCGAGCATTGATTTATAGCCTATGACGGGAAAGGTTCAGAGCGAGGCCCAGGAACAAAGCACCTGCGCACCCGTCGCTAGCACGACGACGTCGGCCTCAAGAAAACTCCCATCCGTCAATCTAAGCCCGTTTTCCTCGAAGCTTTGGACTTGTCCTTGCTTTACTTTCACGTCTCTCCTGATGATCAAGGACGAGCAGCCGACATCAACGTAGTGACCCTGCATGAGGAATAACCGTTAGACGTTTCAATTGTATAATTAAGATCGCACACTGACCCCCGAGAACCGGAAGTACTGATACAGTAGTCCGGGGCTCCCCTTTCCTCTTAGTTTGAAGCCAACTCGTTCAAGGCCAGCGAGCAGTTCTTTGTCCTCCTCGTTGATTGCCGCATGCGTCATCACTGCATATGGTTCAAACGCCTTGTAAGGGAACGAAATCACGCTTAAATCTACTTCCTGGACGAGCATTATGCGGGATTCACAAGTCGAATTCGAAAGTCAATCCCCTACCTCTGTGGGTGGGCCACCTTCTCGATAACCCGCGGCGTACTGAAGTTTTGGGATACCTACGTCTCTACTGACCACAGCCGTTGCCGAACGCTGTATCATAGTCACATGGGTAGCCCCTTTGCTATAGAAGTCATGGGCAATATCGTGTGCTACGAGGGGGAGATCTTGTTGTGGGCTCGGGAAACGGTGACTCCGTGTCATTGGGACACTTACCGGAGTTGCCACAGCCAATAATTACGGCCTTCTTGCCTTTCCACATTGCTCCGCCATCGTGGGCACTTGAGTGGCGGATACTGCCTGTGAAAAGTCCTTCCCCCTTGAAGCTAGGAACATTCGGTTCCCCTCTATTACGGCCTGGGTTAGTATTCGCACGAGGTGTGTTATCATTGGACCAACGCATGACCAGTTGCTTGAACAAGATGCTTGCACTTCATTTTTCGAATCGACCCATCCCCTTTTCGTATAGTGAGAGTCCATGTCCCACATTCTTCGTCGTAAAACGTTGAATTAGGCTCAATCGTGGATTTCAACCACTACCAGGAAATTTTAATCCTTGTTCATCTCATTTTGTGGGGAGGATGTACCACATTCAGCTCCATGATGCTCGCAAAAGACTCCATCCAATTAGCAACCCTAGTATACCGATAAGCCCAGGGCATAAAGTAGAGGGAGATATCACATACTTATCTTTCGACAGAAACACCGGCCAATCATCGGGGTAAGGTAGGAACGGAAATACGTTACCCCAGAGAGCATCATGGAGGACAAGCGAGTGATATCTTTTCCTCCATGAATCTCCCAGTCGTTCCTGTTTATCAACAATCAGGGTCACGATACCCAGGCGGCGCAGTCTCGCTGCAAGCATGAGGCTTGAGTGACCTGCACCAATGATGATAACCGTTGGATTTGGGTAAGGGGAATCGGGGGTAAAGGAGGATAAGGATTGGCGCTCCTCAAGCCAGTTGAGAGATGGGCGCGTAGGGCCGCGTTTGAAGCCAATTGGACGGTTGGGCCCCACGAGAGGACCATGATCTTTGAGTTGGTGCAGAGCCAGCGACAATGTCAAGGCACAGAAAATTCCAGTAGTAGTATCCGGAAGAATCCTCGCTACGCCTTCTCCAAGGGAGGTGGGGGTTTCGAAAACAAAAAATCCTCTGAGCACAGAAATGGTCATGGTCACAACAGAACCTCTTTGATTGGGCTGGAAGAAACTGACTGAATCCAGTTTCCCGTGGCGTTGAAGAGCGGTGGAGTTTTCTTATCATCTACTTTGATTGTCTTGGGATCGATGCCCGGCAGCCCTTTCCGAGCGCGGAAAAATTCCTCGAGTGAATCTCTTGAAACAGACCTCAGATCCCAGTCACAGATAAGAAGGCTGACCCGAGACGTCTCAGTTGTGTCTCTTCGACAGGCATGGAACGAGTCCTCACTCGCGAAGATAACCATTGGGGAGGAATAGGTCCACGAATCCAATAACGTTACGAGTTTCAAACGAGTTTCTAAGTCGAGTTAGGAAACCATCAAACGTCAATTCCGCTGATTGCGAAACAGGAATCATGTTGGCACGCGTCAGAGCGCAGAAATTTGTTTCGGAGGGTGGGGGTTGCGTGCAGAGCACAAAGGGTCAGTCTTTCTATCCATCATAAGAACACAAAAGGGCCGATGATCCCCCGAAGGGTAACACGCTTCCTACATCGCAGGAGCGAGTCCGTGGCACAAGTGCCAACGAATTGCACGTGTACAATTAAAACGAATCGGTCAAACACAGCGGTCTAATCACACGCGGCGTTCTAATTAAGCGGGCCCCGTCCTGTTCCCACCAAACATGCGCGCAACGACGCTCCGCGCAATAATTTACAGCGAATTGATTCGGAGTTTGTGCCGGGAAGGGTCCAGCTTCTGCTAATGAAGAGGTGTTGAGGAGGGAAACCGCACCAACAAGATGGGACTGTACTAGGAGAGCATCGCATTGGCAAAGGGGCTTGCAGGAACTGGAAACTACTCGGATTAATTTCAGGGCAAGGAGAAAGTGGGACCGCAATTATCAATAGAGAAGGCCACATAAACTATGTAAAGGAGCTACCTTTTGCAAGGTGGCTGTATAACATATGCATAACCATAAGTTTAGTCGCGTGTTGTGTGAAGCATTGTAGAGTCTTCCGTGGCCAATATTATGCAGTAAAATCTCGACGTTGAAATTATGTCACTCACCCTCCCCTTTTGCCATTTATTATTCATTTCTGCTTACGCTTTTCCTTCCTCTTTCCCTTTTTGTCCTCTTCCTTCAAAGTTATTCGCGCGTGCTTGGTTGTGATGGAATTTCGCTTCTCACCGTATTCTCCCCCTTTTCTTTATCACACTCAGGATTTTCCAGTCACAGACAAATGATCATTGTCAACTTCGGTCCCCTATAAGCTATGCCCCATCGACTTGCAAACTATGGGTCATCCCACAAACCTGTTACTGAGAATCATACGCATTTGTATACCTCGCAAGCGGCGATAAGTGCTGTTGTTTGCCTACTTCACACACACACACACGCATGGGCCTCACCCCTGTCGCCAACTTGGCTGCTCGATCAAATGTTGTCTCTATCCACATATGCATCCTTCCGTCTCGTACTTGCGATCTGTTGTCTTATGTGCTCCGGTGGCATATCACCCTCACTCGCACTTGTGCGAACTCAAATTCTTGACCACCACCATCATGACACGCCACTCTACCCTCCTACTTGTATGTGTGTGCCATGCTACAACTAACATTCGGATAGATTCTCGAGTGAGCCAGTGCTCTCACATCTGCAAGTGCCAATTGGGAACCACCTAGATCCGTTGGGGATGTAACGACCTCTTCTTCATTGAAACTTTCCAGTGGTCGTGGGACAAGATGGTGGGCTAGTGTGAGTTAACATACAGGGAAAACAGTATGGTCACTCCAGTATACATTTCCTCCACCGATATCCCCTTGGACGATCATTGTTCTCTCAACCAGACATCTCAAAACCATCAATCCCCATGCAGGATGGGTTACCAGGATATCGGCAAGAATGATTTTTGCCCCTATCCCTATCCATCGAAATGGGTGTTAAATAATATGTCATCAGTGTGGATCGGTTCAGAGAATGGAAAACGGGAAAGTTGAATGGTTGTATGTCGCCGATCAAGTTCACCTGGTGGCTCGTACCTTTGTGGCTCTCAGAGTACTTTGCTGTGAAACGGATCACCACTGTTCCTATCTCCAACGATTCCAAAGCCATTAGTAAGGAAAGAGAGAGAGACGGTGGAAAAGAAAGAAGATATAGTTGCTCACCCATGTGCTAAACTGTGTATCCCAAGAGAGTGCAAGTGCAGAGTCGGGTGAAGCACCGCGGACATAGTTTCGAACTGAACTCGAAACAGTTGTGCTGCATATGCATGGCAATTGAACATTGAACCAACGAAGAAGAATGTGTGGTGATCGTGATCGATCGAATAATCTTCAAATCAAGAACTCTTGTTGGCCGAATTATTTGGTTGTTCAATGATGTGGAAGTCTGTTTCTGGCTGTTTCGGGAATAGATTAGAGTCGAACTCGCTGTAATCTCAATATAAAATTGGTCTTCATAGATCAGAGGATGAATTGTTCTATTAAGAGGGGAACGGAAAAAAAAGAAACAAGATGAGGTGCGAACGCCATGCTGAGCTCTCACGCTCAAAGCGAGCGTATTCGAGCACGGGATAAATCGGTGCTGACAAGGCAGCTACAGGCATCATCGTCATATTGAGTACACCAGGTTCTCAACTACACGTCGTGGAGTGACATTTACAAGGCTAAACTCACAGGAACCTTCCCTTGTGGCTCAATGTCACCAAAGATAACACGAGCCACAGCCTTGAGTGCTGAACATGTGAAATCAAAGGATGCGAGATATGCCAATTCTAGCTGCAAATCCTGCGAGGCCAGGCGGGTCTGTAGGCTCGGAATATCATACGGAGCATAGGTACTGACAACATAGACAGATCGTGAAAGAATGCCATCAGCTTGATTTCTCTGCAAATGACGGATGAGAGCTTCGAAGTAATCCAACTGCCACGCACTGTGATGTGCGTTCCGAATTGCAAAAATGATTGTCGTTGCCTGGTGAGCCAACGCCAGCGCCGGACAAGAGCTAGCTTCCGCCGTAAGAAGGGGAGCGTCCTCTGCCATGTATAGCTCATGATGGAACGATGACGCGGACAGTTGGTCGGCCTTGTCAGAAACGTACGCTGCAAAGGCTTCATATGACGGCCCAGCTGCATTTCGTACTCTCCCATCCGAGGTGCGAACAATATTCTCAGCATCGTCAATTGCACGGTTGAGAACTTCCATAGCAGGGGTGAAAAGAATAATGCTGGTCTGAGTTTCCAGTCTCCTTGACCTGGAGAGATGAGAGATGGGTACGAAATTACTCGGGCCATGAACCACAGTTACGGCTAGGTTGTGCGCCTCGAGGCTTAAAATTTGGTTCTGACCTTTGAGAGTCGCCAGTTCCTCGAAATTTGTCTCAACAATCGCGTCGCCCCAGCTGCCAGCAAACGATTCCTTCAATTTATCCACCCTGGCATCGCTCGCATCTAACATATCCTCCATCAGCTCCGCATTCTCGAATGCCTTCCAAACCTCCTTCACTGCACCCACGTGTTTCTCAAAAGTATGACATATCATGACGATATCTGCACCAGCTTGAAGAGCCTGCACAGCACCTCTCTCAACGCCAACCGTTCCAGCAATTGCATCCATTTCAAGGCAATCGGTGACAACGGCGCCGGAGTAGCCAAGCTGCATGCGAAGAACCTCGGTTGTAATCTTATGTGAAAGGGAAGCCGGTTCATCGGAGCCTATGATAAAAGGAAGAGCTATGTGAGCCGTCATGATGCTCGCAACTGGGGGTTCTGCATGGATGAGAGCTTTGAAAGGGACGAGCTCGAGTGAATAGAGGTCATCAAGTGATTTTGGGATCTTTGGGAGGTCAAGATGAGAGTCTACATGGGTGCCCCCATGCCCCGGAAAATGTTTCAGGGTGGGTGCGATCCCTGACAAAGTTAATCCTCGGGAAGCAGTTCGGACAAACTCGGAAACGTTGTAAGGATCGTCACCAAATGACCGCACCCCAATAACGGGATTCCGCGCATCAGAGTTCACATCCGCAACGGGAGAGTAACACCAATTGAGACCAGCCAACTTCATTTCTGCGGCTGTGGCATGATAGACTGTTTGGACAAGTTCTGGCGAGCCCGTCGCAGCGAGAGCCATAGCCCCTGGGAATAGAGTCCCTCCATTCGGGGCTTCCGTCGAGAAAGCAGAAACAAGACCGTTTTCTTGGTCCATGCCAATCATCAGTGGGCGAGCATGACCTGCGTCACGCGCCAGACGCTGAAGCGAATTGATGAGTTTCCGGAGCTGAGGAATATCTGCTCGCGCCCCAGGAGGTAAGGACATGGCATAGCTAAAGATGACCGGACAAACCTTTGACATTCCTCTTCATAAGGATAATATTCCCAACATGATACTCGCGGATAAGTGCCGTGACATTTGCATCGATCTCATAACCGTGAAAACCTAACACGAAGTGTTGGCCGATTCGCCTCTTCAGGTCCTCACTTAGCGCAACTCTTGGGAAAACTTGGGGGAGAGCAGCCATGGAGTAGGAGTAAAGTAGGAAGCCATATTACGTGCAAGAAGTTCGTGTGGCTGCGACACTTGGACTCCCACGGGGAGGCGCTGCACCTGACCGCAGTCATCAGTAGCCTTCATAAATAAGCCAAAGCCTTTCACTCCTTCTCATCACTGGTTAAGATGATCCTGGACATGGAGAAAGCACCTCCACCTCCACCATATCTTAGGGATGCAGAACTTGATGCTCGCCTGCAAAGGACGGCAAAATATCCGCCTACATTAGTGGGGGTACCCCCACACTTACTTCTTCAGATCGTCTACTGGACGTGTCCTGACTTTACTTCTTCTGAAGAGAGAAGGGCTTCGTTTTATTGGATGTGTTATAGCTTGCGTTATACGTGTCGAGACCTCTGGATAGGTAAGCTTCACACCTCTCCGTCGTCGTGGTTCCGCTCATAGTCCGATCTAGCATGTATGCACATACTGAGATCCTCGTATCTTCCCCTGTACGCTCGAAGAGTGAATCGGCCGTTTACGACGGACCCCTTCCCTTCGTCTTCTGCAATCGGACATCCACTATCCTCCTCGCCCATATTATCAACTCAAAGGGAAACCACAATATTAGACATGTTCATTCTCCTCAAAACGCGCGAAGATGTCCGTACGGATGAATCTTCGCTCTATCTAGATAATGCCGATGACCAGTATCGTGACTTATTCAACCTTATGCAGGTAGGCGCATTACCCATGTTCTAGTTGAGATTAATCAACGACACTGTGGAAACAGCCGAGGGCTCGCGTCGAAGATCTTACATGCAAGTATGGTTTGAGAGCAGGACTTATTGCCCCAACACCCACGTTTTTCCCTGCACCTGTCATTCCACCGTCGCCCCTTCATACACATTCCAATTCGTCCCAAGTTTCCCTATCCTCCTCTGGAAGGATTCTCGTCCCGTTCTCTGATCTAAGCATATCGTGGGGTCATCGGAGGGTCGGTTTGCAGTTAAGGGATACTTCGCGAGAGCCCAATTCGCTAAGTAAGCGAACTGTCCTTGAGGTCGAAAGGGTGAAGGGTGAGACGCTGGAGTCTTTGGTGCAGAGATTAGTTAAAGTATGGTTGGCACTTGCTAGGGCTGAAAGACGTCGATAAAATTCTGGGTTCAATTCGAAGGGATCGGTGCTCTGGATATGCCGTATTCTGTTGTCATTAGCGACCAGGGCGACCCATTGCTTATTAATAGTCCACTTAATGTACGCTACTTCGACTATATACCCACACAAGCGTTGCATTAATCATCACATATATGGCAGTATGTTGAACAAAGAGCGTGGGGAGCAAGGGGTGATTAGCCGTCCGAAGCCGCTTGATATCCCTAAAAGACCAAAAGGGAATAGTGGGTGTGGATGTGCATCGGATTCACAGTTGACGCTCACATCTCTTTCATCCAGGAAGTCGATATAGGCCAGAGCAACCGAAATCCACCAACTTAAGTCCACTCCCAACACCCTCGCCACTCCGTGATCTAGCTCAATTATTCCACTTGTGGAGTGTGCACCAATAAGAGGCGTAGTGTCACGAAACGCGAGCACTGGGGTGGTCGGGGCTGATTGGGGATGCGGGGCTGGGGATGAGCTCGGAGTTGAATGGAACTCGTGAGATGCCTGGATCGTAAACGACTGCGATCGCGAAAGTGTCAATGGTTTTGCGGATATATATCCAAGATCACAGGCACCTTTCCGGCTCCGAAAATGGAACTTTTTAAAGCTGAAGAGAAGAACGAAAGTCGGCTCGGCGCGGTCGCGGCAATACTAGCAGGCTTGAGGACGAATCTGGTGACGCCAATGTGAGCAGGGGGAACATTTGCGACTGGTCGAGTATATGCTTCAGGTGCTCCAAACGGCGGTGGAGGTGATTTGGGTGAGGATAGACCATTGCGTAGAGCAGTTGCGTACAAATTCAATGAGCTACTGGAAGAGACTGGAGAATACGATGATGCCGAAGGTTGCGGAGGATAAGACATGCTGGGTGATTGCACTGAAGGGGTTTCTTGGGCGGCATGAGAGTATGCGGGAGGTGGAGGGTTCATGTCTATTCTTGTTTGGCAAGTAAATGCCAGGGCACCGGTCGTCGGATCTCCCTCCGATGGGTTACAAGGAACGAGGGAAACGAAAGATTTTGGCGCGAAGTGGGGAGATCGAATGCGAATATACCTTAAAAAATCATGCCAGGCGGATTGTTGCCAGCAACCACTCAGTCAGAGAAGAAACGCACCAGCCCGACACGGGTCGATGAATAGTCCACTTGACGCGCTGAGAAGGGTTATCCTATGGGAATACATGGCTTTAATATTCGAACACGCGATTGCACCAAAGTGATCACCTTCACAGAAGTGATGATTTCCTTCCCTATCAGCTCAGGTTCCTTAGGATCCACGGGTTCAGACGCAAAAGTCATATCGGTTCAACCTTCAATTGACATACACTTTCCCACATGGCTCTCTGCGTAATCTCATCTATCACCGAGACACGGTGAGGTCCATCGAGGTTATGACAGCTGTTTGGTTGGAATCAGGGAAACATCAACGGGGGATTGTGAAATTAGGCACCAATGGATTCGGTATTTTGCAATATAGCCAAATGGGGCGCCTAGCGCTGAAGGGGAAAGCGTTTGACGCGCGTTTGATGTTGGGAGTATGTCAGACATGTTAACTGTGAGAGCGGGGGTCTTCGATATAAACAAGTCGAATTAGGGCGTGCGATCTGTCATCGACTGTATTATTTTGATCAAAACCGCGAAACGTCAAGCCTGATTCCAGAATTTAACTTAGAATACCGCCTCAATTCATGAAATTTTGGCTGCTCCTAGCTGGTAATTTCTCATTCTCCAACTTTTTCTTCTGGCACATGATCACCTCCTAGTAGGTTTACTCACGTCAACCATGTCGCGATTTCTGAAACGTCGTCGCGCTCTACCGACTTCGTCAACCACCCCGGAGCCTCTGAAGCGTCTATCATACTTCGTCATCTGTCCCAACGTCACCTTAGGTCCTTTCGTTCTAGATCTCGAAGGTGGTGAAATTGTCGATCAACTGCGTGATAAAATTTATGAGAAGCACAAGCTACTGCGCGAACATTACGATTACAGCGAGCTCGTCTTGTACAAGGTAAGTAGGTAGGCTCTTCTGTCTGGAGAATGCTGTGCTCATCCAAAGAAGCCTGATAATTTGACGAGGAGCGGTGATGGAGAGCTTATTGATAGAGCAACAGTTAGCATAGCCACAAAGGATCCTCTTGAGGGTGATAGTGAAGTAAACGACGTTTTTGGACAAGACTCGGGTAACGTCCTGGTCCATGTGGTGGTCAAAATACATTGTATCGCTTCGTTAGTTCAGCTCAGCTATTGGCACGCCAGGCTAACTATTCTTTAGCCCTCCCCAAACCAACCGCCAATACAGGTACGCAGTGCATATACTCCTGGCCCCTTATTGAGTTTACACATTGTTGACTTCCCCGTGTGCTCCGCCGATACCCAACAAACAGCCCTCACTGAACACGATCTAGAATATGGCAACTTGGTTATCATGTACAACTATCTCTGGAAAAACGGGGCTCATTTGGGTCAAATCATTACTAAATCCTCAATCCAGGTGCCCGGCCTTGCTGTCAGTTACGAACTTCAAGAATCTGAGACAGAGGACCTCACAATGGATGATACTCCGACGAAGGATGAGGCATCCCAACCTCAAGAAGAGGACGTCGCAATGGATGATGCTGCGGCGAACATTCAAGCATCGTTTTACGACCTAATGCAGATCCCGAATGTGTCGTCCGTGATAAAAGAAATGCTCGACGTGTCGTTTTATGTGCGGGATGAATACCGTGAACTCGATGCATTCGTGGAGGAGCAGAGACAATCAGACGTCGCTAGGCGCAGTCGCCGCACGCCAATTTTACTTATTGGACAACCTGGAATAGGTGCGTGAGTCCGTGCTGGATTGTCGTTGCACAATGTAACTGGTCACGCTCCTAAAGGCAAGACTGTCTACTTGACGTACTGTCTCGTCAACCGGCTCGCAGAAGGAAAGCCCACCGTGCTTTCCAAGTCGCGTTCAATGCGTTTCGCGTTTCTCAGCTCTGGCGTTTACCATATTCCTTCGATGATTGGGATAATCCCGAGGTCTCCGCAGCTGGAAGCGGCGATTATGGCCTTAGTCTCTTCGATCTCAGTTCGGGTGAGGGTGTCAACACTCTGGCGTCGCGATGGAGAACCTTGGTAGCATCGTCGCCCGAGTCACGAAAAGTGGATAAATGGGTAAAGGAAAATCATGTGAAGAAGTTTTACATGAAAACATGGAGTTGGCAAGAAGTCTATGTTTCTCGGTGAGTTGTCAGTTACATAAATAAGGAGGCCTAGGAGTACTGATCCCTCCCAGCAATTATGCCATGGAGCAGAGGACTGAAGACAATGATTGGCGTATTGCGTTCATGAGGTATGGGGGTTCGGCAAGGTATCTACTGGATCGTACGCAACGGGAGGTAGATCGCGCCCTTGACTCGGCCATCAAAGACTGCCCCTTTTCCAACAAGTGGTGACACATCTACCCGAGGAATACAGCCACCGTCTGGTAGAAATCAATCCCCTCCGAGATGCAGAAGGTTTGGACCGATCGAGCTCATGCACGCAGATCATTTCCCAATATATCTTCACCAAGCTCATGGAGAAGAAGGGATTGGAATTGGTCAATGCTTCAGCCCAATACTTCTACAATTGTATGAAGGAGCCCTCTACAGCCTCCACAGCTGGTCTGATGTTCGAAGCCGTTGGGCATGTCTATGTTGTCAAACGCGCTAGAGGTACCCTTTGCATACGAGCACTCGAAGATGGCAGTGAACAGCAACTGCATTTGGAACACATCGACCCCAGGGTGGAGGTATTCCATTGATAAGGTCCATCATCCGGATGCAACCAAGTACTACCGACCGGTTTCTGGCAACCTCACTGGCATCGACTCGTTTGCTTTCGAAAGGGATGAGAATCACCCCATCATCAGTGTTGTCCTGTTTCAGTATACGATCTCTACCCGGCATTCAGTCAAGATGGGATTCCTCAAACAGCTTTGGGACGCGCTGAAGAATGAACACTGGGGGGTGTGGCAATGGAAGCTTGTATTTGTCATCCCAAAGGATGAGGACCGGAAAGCGTTTAGGAAAAAAATGCCCACTAAGCCCTTGATGACAGCGGTATCTCAATTTGCGCTGGAAATTGATCTGGAGGATATGTGGGAGACAATGCGCAGTTCACACTGAATGAACAGGGCCACTTTTATCTGCTCAATTCATGGGACTTTTATCTTTTCCACCCTGTTGATATTGACCTTTGTAACACTTGAAGCATGTAATGCTAATTATGCTGCACTGCAGAGTCACTCCCGTGGCCGGCATCGGAATGTCACTTTAACAGTAGGTACACAAGTACCATGCAACTGGAGGATTCATCCCATGAGCGAAGACGCGGATTAACGTGTGCAACGAAGTGACCAAGTCAATGCGCCCTTATGTAACACTCCACTTCGGACAATTCGTATCAGAGGATTGAAAGGCCAAACCCACTGCGAATAAGATAGACGACTTCCATACCTCGGTACTGTGCCGGGATTTGCCGAGTGTGGCAGTGCGAGGTCACGAGCGGTCAATATTTCTGGTCAGTGATACTTACTTATGATGAACGGAAATTTGAAGAGATTTGAGTGTGCTAGCAAAAGCAGGCAACTCATTCTCAAGTTATTATGCCAAAGGGAACTGAGGGAAAAAGGCAATTGAAGGAATGGAATCTCCCATATAGCCGGGAGCGGATAAGTCCGAAAAAAAAAATAGAGTAGCAAGGGTGAGTTACTCATCTAGTCATGGGAGCATGGCTGTGGCAAAACTCACCCGGCCATGCTGGTATGCTGTTTTCCAACAAAATTTGTACTTTTATATTTACATGCTTTTCTATGTTTTAATAGTCAAAAATGAATGGACACCCCCTTGGGTAGCACTATACCTTCTTGGAGTAGTCTCCAAGGTTATTATGCAGCACTTTCTGTGTACTGGCACTTGGGAAAGGGTATAATATGAATGGTTTCCTTTTCTGTACTCGGCAAGAGCTGTAATTCAATTTTACTCTATCCATGCAAGTCAAACTTGAAACCAATTTTAAAAAAAATTGGATTGTGGTCAGTGTTAAAAGAGATGTTGATTCCAACATCATAAAGTATTTTGGGATTTATTTGGCAATAACAAAGAATTTTAAAATTCTGAAACCAGGGAGCTACAAAACTACACTAGTTGTACAGCTTCCTGGTGCCACATTAGTATTAGAATATCAACTTTGTTTACATCGGGAAGTTGTGTGGCGGTTATTCATTGCAGTCATTCTGGGGCACTTTGAGGTGTTGGGGGCATTTTTCCCTTCTTATTCAACTTACAACTCCCTTTGTATGATGACAGGAATGTTGCATATATAAGGGAGGAATTCTTAGGCTTTTCTCCCTCAGATCTCTTATATTAGTCTGAGGTGAGAACCATCTTATATTCTCTACCTATAACTCATGTATAATTCTTGTTGCAGTCTCACGCAACATAGGTATTGGTATTTACAATCTTAGATCTCTTATATGAGTCTGAGTCTCATGTGACATAGACTAATTCCAATAATTAGCCTCAGAAGTGTTGTGGCAGAAATGAGCCACAACGCAAATTTCGCGACAATGGATAGTACTGAGGTATGAACACCTAGTACTCATGACTTAGTCAATATAAAATGGTATGTGGGGTGTGCCACCCAACCTACCATCTTAGATAGTCTTTGAGGCTTTGGGTAGCTGCACTGGTGCCCTGGTGCACTGAGCGAAATATATGGATGTCACGACCCGGCGTTCCCCAGGGCCAGATGACCTCCTCCCTGACCCTCTCCCACGCCTGAACACTCCCCGCACACTCCGCTCGCCACCCGTCGCTGCCTAACCACTTCCCGCCACCTCTCCACAACCCCTCTCCTAATTGTCGTTGAACGACCTAGCGGCGCAGAGTGCCACAACCTGTTGTCCCATGTTTCGCTGCACCTTGTTACCTTGCGGCGAAGGACACACTTGACCTTCGCTGTCTTGAACACATGCTCTTTGTTTGTTTTCCTCCTTCTTTTCTCCACCTGCAATCTCTGCGAGATCTGGCGACTTATTCCCTATTCAGTTCCCTAGCGCTTATATACAGCTTGTAACTAATGCTTGTACTGTAGTTCGAAATCAACTAGAATTCACCCCTAAGCTTACCTCTGTCTCCGTAAGACCTCTGACCTTCTGAAGTATCGGGACCGCATCGAGAACGAGGCGCAACGCTCCTCCTCGAGTCCTTGAAGCCGAAATCCCGGCTGACTCGCCTAAGTAGCCTCGGCCTCGAGATCGGTGGGGTTTATCCCTCGCTAAAGCTTGGTCATGCGTAGGATGCCTTCACTACTAGCGGGCAACGTTCGGTCGCCTACGGCTACCATCGGCGAAGATTCGCATGGTTCTGACAATGGACAGGAAAACCAAGTTATTATGGTGGGGCCTGAAGGGCCCTGGGAGCTCTGGGATGCCCTTGACCGCTTTTTTCTATTACAACGCTTTACATGACTGTCTCCTTTCAAATGAATTGCCGGCATTGACTTCCGATGCTTTGTCATTGCTGCCATCATCACCAATGTTGCCATTGTTGTCCTTCCTCAGTTCTGTTCAGTTTTTTTTTTTCATTCTTCTTTTCTACTTGCACATTCTTTGCTCACACTTATACTGCACATGTTGTAGTCATCACAGCCCATACCAGATGTATCTTGTAACATCATATGTAACAATCATTTAGGCAGATTCTAAATCTATGGCTTCTAATGTGTCCACAATTCTTCCAATGATGCAATGATAGTCATAATCATCAGCATCAGCGTCTTCATTCTCATCTTCCCAGTCAACAGCATTAAACTGCAATGCACCTGCATCCATGCCTTGAAAGCTGTTCTCTGTTATCAGGTCCTGGGTGTTTGTAGGAATAGTGTTTGGCAAGCTGGGGCCATTGGGCATTGCTATTTTGGTTATGCTAAGAAATTGCCACAATACAAATAAAATGAGAAATCTAATGTACAGGGAGGAGTGGAGGCACCTGTATCTGCCACAGCCCCAGGGCTTCCTGCTTCATGGACTGCAGGGAGAGGCATACCAGTGCCACCTTGCTTCTCCAGAAGTTTCAGTTTGTTATGCAGATGTCTGTTTGCATTGAGTTGATACTCAAGATGTACTGGGATAGCTCAGGATCAGTGAACCATGTGGCCTCGGTGGTGAGATGCAGGTGGGTTTCCTCATCCATAAATGCTCATATCCAATGAGCTTCAGTGCCAACGATCTTGATCTCCTCATGGGCATGTTGAAGTTTATGCCAGGCATGCATTGCTTCGCAAAAGCGATGTTGAAACCATGACTTGTCTCTCATATCTTCATGGCCACGCAACAGAACAACATCAGAAAGGAAGTTGAGGTCTGTGATGTCTTGCCATTTAAGTGATGGTTTGGGAGGATTCATGGAGGCGGCCAAGTTGTTGTATTTCTGGAGTGTTGAGTTCTGTCATATCCATCCATGGCCATCACCCTCCACTACCTCCGGTCCTTCTGGATCACCTCCACTCCTTCATCACTAACCTTGGAGCCTCCATATTCCGCAGTCACCTCCGACTCCCCTGATGGTCACTACCCCTCAATTCAATATATTACCTATGCCTCCCTAGGTATGGAGCCCCAAAGGCCTCTGGACAGCTCCAACGTCTGCTAATGCACTCCCACCCCCGCTGGGCAATTCACTTGCTTGCCCTGCAAGTCTACCTTCAGGCCTATCCCTCCTTTCCGTTTCTGGGTTATAGCTTGCCATGCCGCTAACCCTGTAACCCGACTTGTTGGTAATATTCAGTTGGCTAATGTTTAACTCTGTTAGCTCCACTCCACTCGGTCCCATCATTCATGGGCCCACCCTTGCTGTAACTATATATACATAACTTGTAGATAGGTTACACCCTAGTGATAAAATCGACTAGAGTTATCCCCCCTTCTAGTTCTCTCTGCCAGTAAGTAAATTAGGGCACAGACGTGTAACTAGGCACAGCACTCCTGGTCTGAGTCACTGGGGCTGAAGCCCTCCACCATGGAGACATTTCCTTTGTTTCGCATCTGGTCTCTGACAAGTTCAACGACTTCCCTTGCTTGATGACCAGTGTAGAAATTTGTTGTCGAGCCTTATAATCTGAAAGAATGAATAGCATAAGGTGAATTCTGAGCAATATGATTCTCACCTGTTTTTGGCAAACCAATCTTCTCAAGCTCAAGTTGGTGTGATACAGCTCATTGTTCAAGCTTGTCAAGAACTTGGTGATAGTCTCAGTGTTGGTGCAAAATCAGAGCTTCCTGATGCTGAGGGGAATCAGGCATCCAAGGGGCAGTGGGTGGTGATCTAGCCTCTATTGCCAAAATGGCTGAATGAGCGGTATTGAGGGCCTCATTTGCCTGGGCTAAGTGCTGGGTAATGTGCATTGATGGTCCTGCTGGCATCATGGCCTGAAATGTCCAGTACTGTGTAGTTGCTCTAGAACAGGAAAATTGCAAAGTCTCATGTCCAATGCAGGTTAGCAATCACTTACTCGGCATGCTCAAGATATTCAACAGCTTCCAAATACTCAATCTTGACCTTCTTGTTGTCAGCGGGATAATTGCCCATGCACAGAGCCGGCTCGGATTCCCGCTTCCACGATTAGGAAACCACTTCCATTCATGCGACAACTCGATACGAATTTGGTACCTAAAAATAGTCCTAATTCGTACGATTCTGGAGATATTAAAAACATCCTAATCGGTGGAGATTTGACGGAGTTCTATGTTGGGCAAGTTAGACACGGGCATGTGTGGGCGTGGGAATCTCAAGCAGCAACCCAGAATTCCAGCCTCACTCATTCCCACGGCGTCTAATAAATTGGTAAAAATGTTTATCGGCTGTGTGAGAGTTATCTTCGACTACATTCACAATTTCGGCTCATAATTCCGTAAATCCGTTGAGATATCGCTTATTTTCTTTTAATTTCATATTTTGCCATCATTTCAGTTATTGATTGATATTCTTTTATTGTTACTGTTACCCTTTTTTATTATTTCGCCTAATAAGGTACCCAGGTGCCATATGGCACCAATATTCACCATCTATTATTTCTAAAAATAATTATTTCTTATAATCCTGTACATACCGGATTTTTGAAAAGAAGATCTCTGTTAGACACTGGTCTGGGGTTGGCACCGAGGGTTGCCATTGCAGGCCACTATGGGCTGCAATGGCCGTGATGCCACAAACAAGGCCCGAGGGTAGGGCATTTGGCCTCAGCAACTCTAAAGGAGCGCTGTGCCCCTAGCTGTCTCTTGGCCCTCATTTCAGACTTACTGGGGTTGCCTTGCTGGGGTCAGGACTTGGGGGTCATGGTCAAATCGATATTAGAGCTAAGGCACTATAATGTAGTATATGGGGTGGGCAACCCAGGTTGCATCGTGGAACCTGCTTATGTAAGCATATACTATTGAACAACCACAGAAAAGTGGGACCCAACATCGCCGAAGCTTTGTGCATTCCACAGGACATTTGGTGAAGAATACCATTAGTAAATGTTGTTCATAATCATGTTTAGGGTGTTTTGGTGGTTTTACATATTGTTATTCTCAATTACAAGGAGTGTTGTTCCAATAAATTCTTCATAACACCACTAATACTGCATCTGCATGAAATTCCAACCACCAAAACATTATAACTAGCCATTGCATGCCAAGACACCCATAATTATCTTGAAATGTGTCACCATTCCCTCCAAAAACTTCGGCAAAAAAAGTTATTTACAATTATTTGTTCCGAGCCTACATTTCACATCAAAAAGGAAACTGCACCTCCCCCTGACAATTTTGTCCCTCAGCACACATAGCCTCTGCCAATTTGCTTGAAAATAGGCAGACTGACAACTTTCAGATAATACTATGAGGGTCTGAATTCAAATGGGATCAACATCTCGGTCTTCATATAAGAAGAGAAGAAGATCACCAGGCTGTATATCCCACACTCTATTGATCACTGGCTTCTGGGGCAACTCAAAACATTCTAAAGACAAAGAGAATGCTGTAAAAGATTCATATGGCCAGCCAGGGGGGGATACACTACCTGAGAGTGGTAAAAAAAATTGATTGCCCCGGGGCCCACATCCCAACCCCACTATGTGTGGACAATTCTAATCTGAAACAAAAGCTTGGTGCAGCAAGCCGAAAGCTTCATGATAGTGATACCTTGCATAAAGCTGCAATTTCAAAGGTGGGTCATTATCAAAAGACCACCCGAAATGCAAAGCGGCAACTGGAATGGGCCCTCACTAGCTGGGGGCAGGCCTGCATGAAGCTTGCTCCCTCATGCACAATAAAAGACTAGAAGCTGCCAAGAATTCAGTTATGTGGCAAAATCTGAAGAAGAGAGGCATATACTCCAAGGAAGCATGCCGGTTAATGTGTGTTCTTGCATCAAAGGGAGTCCCACAGGAGAGGGTTGGTTTTGTTGCCTCAGAATGCACAAATACTTTTGGTGTTACACTCAAGGGAAGGCCAAGTAGATGGACAGTTGGCCGTGCCATAACTGAGGGAGAAGTCGCAGCAAATATGCAAATTGCATATGAACTGCAGAATGCAAAATGTAAGTATTTTGGCCACTTGGGCATCAGTATTGATCACAAAATCAGCTTTTACATGTAGATCTGATGGGACAACAAACCGAAATGTCCATTTCACATCAATTCATGTAACTGGGGAATTCTCAGCCCATGGCAAGGACAGACCACAAACAAAGATGCAACAACTCACTTTTGGCATCCATTCTACACCCACCCATACCAGCGAAGAGCAACTAATCCTCATGAAGAATGTCATTGGGACATTCTTTGATACCATGTCCCATGCACCACCAATAGAAGGGTACAATTCCGCATTAGGTGTTGGGGATGCCACAAGACATCTAAGCGGCATGAACTCAGACCATGCAGAAGATCAAAAAAAGCTCTTCCATATCATGGGAGAGTGGAGGAAATCTGAGTGGCTGGTCTATTTGGGAACCCAAAAATGCGGAGAGATGACAGAAGCGGAAATTGGAGGATGGCATCGTGCAACACTTGAGAGTCTTGTCAACACTCAAAAAGACTTGGAGGAATGGGCAACCATGGGTCTAATAGAACAAAAGAGAAGGTTTGAAGCCCAAGGCTTGGAGAGGCTGGAGCAGCTTGGTGGAGAAATTTATCAGTGCCTGCTGCAGGAGACAAAGCATCAAATCGACCTTTTCGTCTGGAGGGGCTGTGCAATGCACAAAGATTTGAACACAATTAAGGCTGGTGCAAAGGCAATGGGAGAGCTATGGGCAAGGATGAAAAGTAGTCATTGTCCTGGCCCTATAGCACTCCCAGCCAAGGGCAAGTCAGCGCCATTGAATCAGCATGCCACATTGGGGCCACCCGGTATAGCACTGGCAGTATTACCTGATTCAGGGGCAATTAGACTTACTATGCTTGCTGGGATTCTCATGAACAACAAGGATGACAAGAAAGGGTGTCAGGATATGCACCATGATTGGTTCCGACAAAAATGTGGCTGTGCGCATCGATTTCCAGATACAAGCAATACCCGATTTGGCTCCCACCTTCGTGCTGCAATAGAGCTCTTTATTCTATGCCCAGAATACATTGAATTCATGGAGTTTTGCCACAATAAAAAGATCAATCTGGGCTATAACAATATGGAAGAAAATATTTATCGTGGCCTCCATGACCCATCCACTATCACAGAACTGGCTGTTCTATCCCTCATTGGCCAAGCGGTCTCCTTCCCATACATGAAATCAGTCTGCTCTAACAATCAGTCCCAAAAAAACATGTTAGAGATGGGACCATTCCACGAAAAAGTCAAGGCTCATATTGCCAAGATTATTCAGAACCCCGATCTTGTTCTGGATGTGGGCAAATGGAAGAATGAGGGAAACCTTCTGGGAGAAGGTTGGGAAGATGTCAGGGCACACACCCTGACTAGCCCGGACCCGGACCCGCATCCGGACCCGCTTCCACCCGCTGTGCTTCCCGCACATGCGCACGCTCCATGTGCCGCATGCTCCAGGCCCGGTTCCTACCCCTTCATGTGACTTCTGGGTATCCCCGGAAGTTTTGCTGATATTGTGGCCACTGTGGGAAGATGAGAAGTTAGCTTCCTTCTCATCTTCTTACCCACAGTAGGCAAGTTGCCCTTCATTTATATCATCTTCTTACCCACAGTAGGTTGTGCCCTGGATAGGGCTGGTTACATCACAGGCTGTGGACCATAGGGGAGGGTCATGGGGACCCGGGAGTCATCCCCTGACAGAAGAGCCCCTAGTGTTTGATGCACTGAAGTGGGATAAAGAGAAATTGCCATACCTATGTGAAATGCTCATTGCATTTTGCAAAGGCACACTCCAAAAGTGGTCCAATTTCACCACTGAATTTGCACCAGATGGGACCATTTCTTCTATGAGTCCAGATGAGAAGCATTGGGCATTTATGCCAACAACGAATGATGCAAATGAGGGGATGCTTGGTACTGTCAGGGCGTGGGAAACATTACTGTGGCTCGCCGTCGGCGACCGTTAAGGTCCGCTGCTCTGCTGCTCCGGTGTAACAGCCCGTTAAGGGCGGGGGTGACAATCGTGGCGAAACGGGGTTTCGGCTTCAACGACTCGTGCGTGAGTGTTGCACCTCGTACTTGATGCGGCCCCGATATTTCAGAAGGCAGAGGGTGCGACTGAGTCGGACAGAGAGTGCAGGGGTAACCCTAGTTGATTTTCGAACTAAAGTACGAGGTAGTATACAAGCGGTATTTAAGTATAACGGAATGAATAGAATTAAGTCGCCAGATCTCATGGAGATTGCGGGTGGGCTTAAGAAGGAATGAAAACAAACAAAGAGTGTGGGAGAAGGATGGCCATGCACAGCCGTCAAGAAAAGTAAGCGTGATAAGGAATGACTTATAGGCCCATGACGGGCCGTGGAAACAGGGAGCAGTGATGGGGAAAGGTGATGGGCTTGTTCAGGCGGCGTTGGGCGGGTGGCGGAGTTGACAGGGTCGAAGCGGAGGAGGGAGAAGGTGTGGGGAGTGATCACCTGACCGTGGGAGTTGCCGGGTCGTGACAGTATCCCCCCTTGGGACTGAACCCTTGAAGTCCCATGTGCACGTGAGAATCCTGCGGCCTATGCCGGGTTTGATTCCGACGGCGATCTGAACAAAAGGACTTAACTTTGCTACCACAACCCAAGATGCCCCCTAAGGCTCGTGCGATGGACCTCTCTTCCTGGAAAATTGAAGACCTCCAGTACGACTCCAGCAACGAGCAGGAGCTCATGCTCCAGAAACGCCAAGAGCGTCACAGATGGTGCCGAGTTGAGGCTGATCGTGTGGAGGAATTGCGTTGCGCAGAAGAGGCTTGCCGTGAGGCAGAGTGTCTAGCAGCAGCTCATCTCGCTGCTGAAGAAGAGGAGAGGAAGAAAAGGAAAACGGCTGAGTCGGTGACAGGGAAGGTGAGTAGTCCTGGTCAACTGATCGGGGACGCAGGGTGCTACTGATCATCCTGATTGTCTTGATCTCAGCGTCCTGCGGCCAGTAATCGACCGTCTACAGCGGGAGATGATCCCCCACCTTGCGATCGTTGTGTCCAGCGTAAGGTTGCCTGCGTCTTGGGTACGGGCAATCGCGGTGTTTGCACTGAGTGCCAGAGACTGAAGCAGAAGTGTCGACGCGGGGATTGGGCATCACCCGTGGTGAAGCGCCCACAAGTGAAGGGGCCTAAGGAGGACACAGAGGTGTTGGAAGCGGACGATGACGAATCGGACGATGAGGGAGAGCGTTCCACTGAGGATCACCTTGCGCGAATCCACGAGGCAATCCTGGCCGTGAACAAGACTCTGACGGGCCTGACCGCTATAGCGGGCCACCTACTCGAATACGTCACTGATACTGAGGAACGATGCCTGATGGACATGCGGTCGAGGAGGGAACATGCGGAGGCTGAGGAGCGGGGTGCAAGGTTGGGTGGAGAGAGAGCGGGGCAGGCTGAGACTAGTACCTCTGACTCTTACTCTACTCTGTTGTTAGACTCTGCTTTTACCGACTAACAATCCCACCCTCTGTTGTCAAGCGTGTTGTGGTCCCGGCTTCGCCGGATATCGTGCATGGAAATTGGCAACGAGATCCGAGGCGTGTTCCAGCTCTGTAGCAGGGAGCCACTCGGTTTCCTCATCAGTACCCTCATACCCAAGCCAACGTACCAGGTACAGCAGCTTGCAGCTGCACCGTTGATCAGTCTTGGAATCCAGGATCTCAGCGATCTTGTACTCGAGTTTGCCGTCGATCTCAACTGGCGGCGGTGGAGGCTGTTCCCGGTTGGGGATGGAATTGGGTATCGTGGGCTCAAGTTGGGAGACATGAAAGACTGGGTGCACAGCCTTCATGGTGTTGGGGAGGCGGAGTGTGCGTGAATGAGAACCTGGCTGCGCAATGATCTCAAACGGCCCAAGGTTCTTCTCAGCGAGTTTTGCCGATGGCCTAGTAGTGCGGAAATACTTGGCCTTGACGAACGCTGAGCTGCCGATGTCGAACGGCGGTGCGGGGAGCCGTCGAGCATCTGCAGGGCCTTGGTAGCACTGCTGGGCATGGGTCATCTCTTCACAGAGGGACTGGTGGAGAGAGTCGAGATCGACCAAGTAATCTTGTGCTCACACCGAGGTCAGATCTCGCTCAGGGTGGATGGCAAGGTTGGGGTGATACCCCTTGTTGGCGAAGAACGGTGAGACCCCTGTGGTAGCATTCGGGGCATTATTGTAGGCGAACTCGGCGAGGGGCAAGAGTTCAGACCAGTTGTCCTGCTGGTAGTTACAATAAATGCGGAGGTACTGCTCCAGGGTTTGGTTCATCCGCTTGGTTTGACCATCGCCTTCAGGGTGGTATCCCGAGGTGAAGTGTAGCCGTATATCGAGGGCTTTGCCCAGGGAGCGGAAGAAGTGGGAGATAAACTCGGATCCCCTATCTGAGGTGATGTGGGAGGGAACGCCGTGCTTGGAGAAGATGTGGAGTAAGAACAGCTTTGCCAACTCCGGCGCCGTGACGGTGTCCATAGACGGTACGAAGACGCACTGTTTGGACAACCGGTCAACGACGACCAATATGGCGGTGTAACCGGAAGAGGCAGGAAGGTGTTCTATGAAGTCCATGGAGATGGAGTGCCATGGGCGTTTGGGGATTGGGAGTTGTTTGAGCAGACTGTACAGCTTGTGGTGGGGAGTTTGGCGTGGGCGCAAGTGGTGCAAGAAGACATGTAGTCTTTAACGAAGGTGCGCACACCCGGCCAGGTATACTCCCAGTGGACAAGATCCAAGGTACGGTTCCGTCCAAAGTGCCCAGAGAGTGGGTGGTCATGCTTGTATCTCAGCACGCGGAGCCTGAGGTCGTTGGCGTCTGGGATGTAGATCCGGTTGTCTAGCCTTATGAGGCCGTCTGCGTCCCTAGACCAGCGGGAATCCTCTGGTATCGTGGCGGTGAGATAGTCTGCAACGGCGGGGTCATGGGGAAGGGCAGTGATGATGTCCTTATGGATAGCGTTGATGTCGACGAGGGAACTTGCGTGGAGGACGGGTTCGGCGAGGTATGTAGCTCTTAGGGAGGACGTGAGCTGCTCCTGTGTGAACACCGGTCTGAAGTTTTGAGGGTTAACGCGAGCGTAGTCCCTATCCCCCTCTTTGGGGTAGACGTCCCACCGTCTAGTCAACGCGTCCGGTTTCACGCCCAATTTTCCCAGGCGGAAATGGACCACCATGTTGAATTGGGACAGAAACTCTGACCACCGTGCCTGACGGTGGGTCAAGAGTTTCGTGGTGCAAAAATATTCCAGGTTTTTGTGGTCGGTGACCACGTCGATGGGTGTTCCTGAGCCCTCTAAGTAGTGCCGCCATCCTCGAAAGGCTTCATAGATGGCTAGAAGCTCCTTGTCGTGGGTGTCATAATTGAGTTCCGGCGCTGTCAGCGTCCTTGACCAAAAAGCAACAGGGTGTATCTCATCATCCGGGCAGCGGATGGAGATGATGCCCGATATTGCATAATCGGAGGCATCTGTCTCGATGATAATCAGCGCATTGGGGACCCAATGGGTTAGGATGGGGGCAGAGGTAAAGGCCCGCTTAAGGCATTGAAACGCCGTGTGGCAGTCGTCAGAGAACACCCAGGGGACACCCTTGCGGGTGAGTCGGGTCAGCGGTACCACAATATCGGAATATTCGTGGATAAAACGCCGATAGAAATTAGCGAATCCTAGGAAGGACTGAACGTCCTTTACCTTACGGGGTTTGGGCCAATCTTGGATGGCCTTAACCTTTTCTGTGGACATGGTTAGCCCGTTGGGAGAAAGGACGTACCCGAGGTACTCTGTGGTGTCTGTGTGGAATTCGCACTTCTTCAGGTTTGCAAAGAGGCTGTGTTGTCGTAACCAGCGGAGGACTTCTCGGACATGCTCCTCGTGGGAGGCCTCATCTTCTGAGTATACGAGAATGTCATCTAGGTAGACAACAACACAGACGTCGAGGAGGTCGGCAAAGATGGAGTTGACAAACCGCTGGAATGCTGTGGGCACGTTGGTGAGACCGAATGGCATGACTAGCCATTCATAGGAGCCATAGCGGGTGTGGAAGGAGGTTTTCCATTCATCACCTGCGGCAATACGCACAAGATGGTATGTGTGCTGCAGATCGAGCTTTGTGTAAATTTTGGCTTGGCTCAGGGCGTCCAGTAGGTCTGCTATGCATGGCAGTGGGTATCTATCCTTCTTGGTTATCCGGTTGAGGCCCCTAAAGTCTATGCAAAGGTGGAGTGAACCGTCCTTTTTGCAGACAAAGAGCACCAGCACAGTGTGCGCCAATGTTAGGTACGGGTCAGCAAACAAGGATGACTGGCGGGGACAAGGCTCCGGGGTTGGGCTTCGGCCTCAGCGACTCCAAGAGAGCGCTGTGCCCACCTACTGTCTCATTGCCCACATTTTGAAGTGGCTTGGGGCTGCCTTGTTAGGGGGACAAACCATGTCGATATTCAGACTAAAGTCATGATGATGTAATATACAAGTATATATATAGTAAGGAAACTGAATGGGTCAGGTGACAAACAAAACAAAAAGGGGCCGGCATCCGGGTCAGAGTGCATGGTCGTGACAGCCAATGAAGACGGCCTAATAAAGCCGGTAGCTAGGTGCTCGTCAAGAAACGCTCGAAGGGCCTCAAGCTTGGTCAGGGATAGGGAATACAAGGTTCCCAACGGGGGGTGCGTACCTTCCTCTAGCTCGATCCTCAGGTCGAATTCACGATGTGGTGCCAGAGTGTTAGCCTTGCTTTTGCTGAATGCATCGGCATATTCGTGATAGGCCTTTGGTATGGCGTCGAGGTCGGCAGGCTCAGAGGTCGCGGTTGCGCGCAGCTCGCTTGCTCGAGACGGGATGCTCAGGCTGAAAGTTATGGAGCCGTCGAGTTTTGCGGCCTGGGCAAACGCCGCTGGGCTAACAAACTCGATGGAAGGG